CTTTTCCGGTTGGATTTTGTTTATAAATATAATATTTTCTTTGCAGAACACCTATTTTCTGGCCATGTAGCAGTATTTTTATTTTTATTTTTCTACCGAGACGTGGGATTATGGTGTGGGCGTGGGCGTGTTGGGTGGAGGAGGAGGGATGAGCGGAGGCGGGTTAGGAGGGGTCTGTGGGGTGGCACGACACACTTTGTATGTATGAAGGTTTTTTTATAGCACTTTTCTGCAATGTACGTCAGCGGATCAGTCCATAAATGGGGCTGCGTGTGTTTGTGTGCGGGCGTGCGCCTGCGTGCGCTCGCAACTGTGTGCGTGCGTCTCCGCGTGTGTTATCTTTACCGAGAATCTCCCCTCTCTCTCTCTATCCCTCTCTCTCTCTCTCTCTCTCTCTCTCTCTCTCTCTCTCTCTCTCTCTCTCTCTGCACTCTCAGCTCTGCAGAGTTGGGGTGGGCGTCAATAACAAACCTGATGGTAGGTTTCATTGCAAAAAAAAAAAAAAAATCAGATGACATTCTTTCGGTAGGCCTGTTTATTTAACGACAAAAAAATAAACCAACGCATTCTGCAGAGATTAGGATTAACATTGATAATATACTAGATTGTTTCATACAGCTAATGTGTCTGCTGCTTTCTTTTTCATAATGTAAATGTTGGCCTTTGTGTGTCGTTTTTTTTCTCTTCCGTTGCGATCAATTCGTGCACTTTGGCGGCTAAAGGGATTTGGCGAAATCTGGTTTGCAATTAAGGGCGCTCAATTTTCTTTTAATATAAATAATATGTGTGTGGTTGTTGTTGTTTTTTATTAATAGCCTAAAACTCGATTTCGGATTGTGCTTGTCCACTTTTTTCCACAACGCTTCCATTCATGAAATGTCATAACTTGTCTATTTATCCAAGCTTGATGGTCAATATAAATTATAAATAGGGCTATTGATTATTTTGGGCTATAGATGGTAGAAATCTCGAAGCACTGCTGGGCGGGCGTCACGATATATTTAGAGCGAAAATTAATCATCTTAATCGTTATGGAAATGTAGGCTACATCGCCCGCCGCCGCCGCTGATGCTGCTACTGCTTTAGTCACCACCATCATCATCTTCATCACCAACACCTTCATCCAATTAACAGGCTTGTTTAAACAAGTTCTGGAAGGAGGCGAAGCCATGAAGCTTATTCCGAACCTTTAATTATCAGTTATTTGTCACAGTGGCACGATTGTGATTTTACAGTAATGAAGCCCACGTTATAAGTTATTAATACACAGTGAATATAGTTATTCTGACTGTAAAGACATCTTATATGTCGGACCACTGCGGGACTACAAGGACTCATGATGCTCAGTGTGTGTGTGTGTGTGTGTGTGTGTGTGTGTGTGTGAGGAAATGTTGCCGGCAAACCATTCAAGTGTGTCTCTGAACATGCAGCACATCACTGAATCCAAGCAACTTCCCGAAATAATAAAACATGATGTATTTGTATTTCCTGCATGTCAGATAGGCTAAAAGTGAGTCAGGTTTGGACAAACTTACCGGCTTTATTTTTGCATTTTTATAAAGGGAAATGTCTAATTTCTGTCCCTTATTTGGTAAAAAGATATATCTGCAGTTGCACATGCTGGCAGGATGTGTCATATTAAACCAAGCAGGAGGCATATTCAAGCCACTGATTTAGTTCTCTTCAGCCTCATTTGTGTAGCAAATGAAAAATGCCAGCATTTCCAAGTAATTTTGTGGCATGATTAGTGTGTTTTCCTTCAGCAGTGAACCATGCAAAGGTTATTGATGCTGTGGTGGTATTGGATTGGGGGGGGAGGAAGAGGGAGGGGGAGGAGAGGGGAGGCATGAGCCAAGGAAAGAGACAGACAGACAGAGACAGAGAGAGGCTTAATAGGCTATGGAGTGATTTACAGTCTATGCCACTATAGAAATAATGTACCAGCTTGTATGAGGATGTGGAAGGAGGAGCATATGTGGAGCTTACAAGACTTTTCTTCTGTGTCTGCCTGACGATTACAATAAAGGTTATTGTCATCACAGGAGGGATGACATTAACTCCTCACTCCAGCAACTGATTACAAAAGGCCTGTGTGCTAAGTTCACCTGTTTACCAGTCTGGAGTTTTCTCAACTGTTCTCCAGCTCGCCCTCGTCTCGTTTGACGTCATCCAACCTCTTACAAAAAATGTTTTCTCAGTTGACGTGTTTCCTTCTCGAAGGAGGAATGCAATTTCACTTTGATCAAAATACCCTCATCGCCTTCCTTTATCCCCAGTGAAAATGACATTTCACAAAATGTCATTTCGTCCGTGTTACGCGGTTCTTCTCTCGCACAAGGAGGCATAATTTTACTTGTTAAGTGAAGCTTTCGGCAGTGCGGACCTGTCAGCATCGTGCTGCATTTGGCAAGAGAAGCCTTGAAAGGTTATACAAGTGTGTCGTGTTGTCAGCTCCTGTTGGTTGTTTCTTCTTTCTGCCGCACAAACAGGCAGAAGGTTGTGAGCGGGGAAGATGTGAGGAGACCCAACTGTTACAGCAAATCCCATGTGTTTAGCCATAAATGGGCTGATTAAAACCTGTAGAGGTTTGTCACATAACATGCAAAGATAAAAGGTCTCATCCCAACACCTCAGATAGTTTGAAGTCATTGTGACTGGCGCCGCATTGAGAAATCTTAAACCCAAAGAAATCTTACACCTCAGTTCCAATGAAATAGGGGTTTAGCAGTTTTCAGAAAGACTCCTGGTTGCCTTAAAACAGGCTGAGGCTTCTGTGTGACCCTTGGTTGGATCAGTCAGATATATCCTAATACTGCTCACAGCTCCTTTTTGCTCCCAGTTATTAGACTTTATTTTCATTCAGAAATTCAGTTCTTAAAGCTTCAGACACACGCAAGCCAAAAGCCTTCTCTTGATACGCCACTTTTCAGTTGTGTTGTATTTGCAGAAATGAGAGAGACCATGTTGTTGTTTTTGCTCTTCTAATGAGATGCCAAGTGATTTATTTATGAATTACTTGTTTGGAACAGCCCCCTTGTGCAGTGTGCATTTTTTTTATCCTCTTTGGAGTCATGTCGCTCAGTGATTGCTGATGCAACTCTTTGTCATCCAGAGTTTGCCCTCACCTCCTGTGAGCCTTCGGGGAGGGCTATATCTATCTTGGCATGTCCCCGGGTGTGTTGGAGGTGGGAGTGACTCATTAAGCAGGTGTGAGCATCCACTCCCATACTGCTACATGCCAAATGAGAGCTCTCCAGCTCATAAGCTCGTGCAGGGAAGAATCATGATGGCAGTATAGCAAACACATCACAATAAATCTTTGCACTGGACCAGGGCCAAGTCACAAGGATAATGAGCTGCTATTTCCCCATTATGCTCACTCTTGTATTCATCAGAGGTGGAGTTTCCAAACGTTCATCACCCATTGAAAGGTTGTGGCTCCACTGACATTTTTATTTGAATTCTGCATTATAAAGGGAATGAATTGTTCCCGGTTTGTTCCCAACGAGGCGACACAGAGTATCAAGAAGCAAAGTGGTCTCGTTCTCCGAGTAAGCTCTGTGTATGTAATTTAAACACGTTTGTTTAGCTGACATTTGGTAATAATAACCTGTGAAAGCTGGTTACTACACTGCAGAGCACTTGCAGGGGAGTCATCCATCTGTTGTGGAGATGGCTCACTTTAAAAGCAAGGAGAAGCAGAATTGTTTAATAAGTTCACATCTTTGTTAGCCTCCAGTGCCTGTTGCCATCCAAATGTTTTAACACACAGCAGAATGATAAGCCTCCTTTAAGCTCATATCCAGGGGTTTGTGTATAATAGAAATGACTCAAAATCACACATCATACAGAGTATTACAGGAGAAGATTATGAGAATCTTCTTGGGCTATATCAAGGATGAAGAAAATAGATTTGAGAAGACTCATCCTGCCTACAGTGGATGAAAAAATATACATTAGACTCAAATACCACCTGTCTTAAAGCTTCTTTTGATATAAACCGCCTAGCCTCCTCGCTATCCGCAGACCAGTACAGGAAATGCTTATTTTTAATTCTCTGAATATCTAATTTTACACAAATAGGCCATCTCTAAATGGCACGCAGTGTATCACGACTTGGTGGAGACGCGCTGTTACGCAAAACCTAAAAAAAAATATATATATATATATAATACGCCTCTACCACTTTGGCCCCAGTGAGCCAAAATACGGAAGAGGAGAGGCTTCGCTTGTGCCTTAAACCGTATATTGCCAGACATTATGGTGTGGATGCAGGCTGCACGGTATGCGGACAAACAAAAAGCAGATAATGCACACTGAGAGCGCATTAATAGTTCCGCCTCGGGCTGCTTAAACAGGAGTTTTGCGGCGACCAGCCTGCCAGCGGCAGGTCACATGTTGCAGCGTCATTGTGTAGTAAAGTTACTGTAGTTGCAAAGAGGCTCCTCATTTCAGCTCCAGAGGTCTGTCCGTGCTGCTGCTGCTGCTGCTGCGGCGTTTCACCATGCGACAACTTCACTTTCAGACGATCTCCAAAGGAGCCGTGCAGCCATGGGAGTGCATTACCTCATCCATGCAATTTCCACCATCAATAATTTAATCTATTTGCTCCAAAGCTGAAGAGATATCCTGAAGCTTGTCGGGAGAGCACACAGAGGGAAAAATACCGCTTAAGTAAAATTACTCAGGGAGTTGTCCAAAACATCCCAGATGACACTACTGTCCTGTTGAATGGTCTGTTTTACGACTGGGCAGTAAAAGGTATGTGTCTGTTTGCTTCTCGATAAGTTGTTTTAAGCACTTTGGCCTTTTTTTTTCTCCTTCTTTTTTTTTTTTTTTTTTTTTTTTTGATGCTGCTTGAGAAAAAAAAAAGAAAGGTGTGTGTCTATGTGTATGTGTGTGTGTGTGTGTGTGGTGTTGGGGTGGTGGGGGGTGTAGGAAGGGAGCTGAGGTGAGTGAGGGAGGGGAGGAGGGGGGTCTAAAAGTAGCTCGATCAAGTCCGGTTATCCTGCGAACAGACAGCGCCGCAGCCCGAGAGGGGATATGTGTAACCTTATCCTCCCGTTCATTAATAAAAAACGGAGTTATTATGTTGATTGGGTTTCCAGTGGAGAGCACGGGCTCAGCAGATGTAATCTCGAGAAAAGAAGGAGAAAAAAAAAGAAACAGAGGACTGTTGTTTCATTATCAGAGCAGCCCTAAAACAATGTGACTTCTTCTTATTAGTATTTCTCGTAAGTAAAGTGGAAACAATCCAGCGTGCCTGTCTGTATGACATCAGCCACGTTTGAACATTTAAACTGCAACTTTATGCTTATAAATAGCTCAGTAAACTCTTTGTTCGGAGTGTGCAGTCTATATTTGCTCATCTAACCTCCTGCACTGTGAACAAACACAAAAAAGAAACAACAAACCCCAGACAGTTTCTGTATTGTTGTTTTGGAGGGGGAAAAAAACTTTGATGAACTCATTAAGACTTTATAGGAAACCTGAGACCTAAACGCCCAGCTACGTCGGCCAACCTACACTGTTGGGTCTACTTCTTGGTGTTATGTGCACGTACTGAATAACTTCAAATTGCTGGCCGGAATGAACGCGGGTTTAAAATTAAGTCCCATTTATGGAGTGGTGGAAAAACTCAGCTCATTTGTGACAGCTTCGTGTGAAAATATCTTGTCAAAGAGCTTATCTGAGGACCATAGCAGTACACAAGGGCTGCTTAGATCATGGTTACATGATAAAATTTATGATGCACTTTCCAAAAAATGAAAATTAGGGCCACATTTCTGGTCAGAGTTGTGACCAAATACCATATAAGTGAACTTGATTGCCTTACAATTACGCACAACCAAAACTACTTTTGCATCTTGGGAAAGGAAGTTTCTGGTCTATCTATCTATCTATCTATCTATCTATCTATCTATCTATCTATCTATCGTGTTTCACAGGAGGGAGGGAAAGAGATGGGAGGAAGGGAGAAAGAGAAGGAGTTCTTACTATTCCACGGTCTCACACGCCATCTAGTGGCCAAAGTTAAGAACTGGATTGCTGTTAATTTGGAGCTCTAGGTCTGTTGGTGTTATTTTAGTAGTTAGGTTTCACAGTTGCTGATTCATAGGTCAAAATGAACTATGGACTTTTAATGTTAAGATTATAATTGGAAACCAAATTTCAGAGTACTTTAACACTGATAAACTCGAGTTTTGCATATTTAAGGACAAGCGTGTGGCCTCAAATGAGAGCCAGTTATGATTTTACCATGCTGTATATGTTGCTACTGTATTTTCTTAATTGTCCAGTGTTGCACACAGCGTGGGTGGGAAGCAGCGACTCATTTGGATAGCACAAATCAATCAGCAGCTATTTGAATGCCGGGCTCTCTGTGGCAGTGGCCGGGGTTGGCCTGGAGGCCGGGTATAATCCCTTAGTGATGCTCATCTATTACTAAACGTGCTCTGAAACTGTGTCAGATTGAAAACAGATCTCAAGGAAGCAAGCTTCCACATGTGTCAGCCATTACTGCAGACAACTCTAATTGCCTTTTCTAAGTGCTGCATTGAACACAAGGGGGTCCTCTGGTAGAAATTTTGATATCATGTGCTGCGTGTTGTTTTTTTTTCTCCTTCCTTTTGGCATTGTGTGCTATACATGTTGAACATGACAAAACATGTTGCAAGGTAAATAGCTCCAACCGACACAGTTCTCGAGGAACTGAACAAAGACGGATGCCCACAAGGGAGCAGTGGTAACGGGAGAGAACAAATGTTGCTATAGGTCATACATTTCTATTCAAATGTAGTGGGCACATTTTCCTCTTTCATCTCTCTTGTTTGATGTTTATTTTCCCTTCTAACGGTTCCTAAGATATCATGCACGCTGTTTGTGAAGATGAAGCCATAAAGTGTGCTGACATGTGCAGGGAGGCTGGGGAACATTACTGAATGTCTAATAATACTAGCCGTGCTAGTCCTTTCATGCTGTAGAGAAACTTTTCAGCATCTGTCAAAGGAGGCATTTATCACTTTAATCCCCACCTGGCACAAAGAATAAATGCGAGGGTAAGTTACATATCCCTACCATACAGCCGTGCTCTCAAAGCAGATGAACAGGTGGTCATCTAGAGACGTCAAAGCCAAACAGTAGACAGAGTCCACACACTCACCTGCTCCTATTGTTCTGGGTGTTTCATGCTCTAGGTGCGTTGTCATGCACAAAGGCGTGTTTGAGCAGCGGTTATTGCAGGCTTTATCTTCTTCCTCTCTGTGATTAGTGATTTACGTTTTATAGTCAAAAGAGCTGTCATACTTGGACAGCTTGTCTAGTGGGATGTGCCTGGATTTAATTATATTTGAAACAATCTAGATAGAAGAAATGTACTCCTCCACCTCTTTGTGTTCGATATTTTCACCAACCAAATCAACTGTCACAAAGCAGGTCCAGAGGCTCCAAAAGAGTACATTTTATTTCTAACATTCCTCCATATGTGGTTCCTCCCTTGCTTTATTATTCATGCTCGTTGTGTTAACTCGCTAGCCGCTTTTTTATTAACTGCGAAATCCAGCAGTGCACATAAAATGTTCCTTCACTGGATGTATAAAACAAGAGCAAACCAATCAGTTGTCACATTTAGCCTCTGGTAGATATAAGCCAGAGATTCTCCGCCAGTCCCACAGCAATTAAATGATTCATTGGCTTTATCGCATTTTAACAGGATGTTGATTGAGAGCATAAGCCATATTGATTGTCCTGATGGAAACAGGAAATCACAGAGATAGAAATAAAATCATTTGTTGTTCCCGGTGTGAGGATACCCAGGGGAATGGCACGCAATTGCACACTGTTGAGTGGCATTACCCCCAGCAACCTCCTCCCCTCCATTCTCTCCCCTATGGAGACCTGGAAGAGACGTCATCTGTGGTTGTTATGCTGCGAAATGACGCTGGCACTCTCTCCACCCCCTGCTACTGCAATATTACCCCTGTGGTCTGTTACGGAAGATGCAGCACTCTTCGTCTGCACCATTTCCAGCATGAAGTTTGATGCCTAACAGTAATCAGCCCTCTGCCTTCATTTCCTTCATGTGGAAGTGGAACCATTTGAGCCCAACGCTGATAATAATATCAGCCTAAATGCATCCTACACATAAAGCTCGTGACTGGCCTCAATCCCGTAAAAAACCTACATGATTTTCTGTGCTGGGGAAGCCTCACAGAAAATGATTGTTATTGGAACCAAAACCTTAACAATATTGAAGTGTTAATACGCTTGTTTTTGCATGTTAAGCAGGCTTTTATTAGCAATGTTTAATGAAAAATTGATAATTAGCTCCTTATTCTTGGCTTTGTCCTCATTGTTGTTTTAATTGGTGAGAGGAAAAATACCCCCATCTCCCTGCAAACAGATACAAGCCAGCCCCTCCCCATGCCCTCCCTCTAACACACACACTCACACACTCTGGAGGAGCACGTCACTGAGCTCGGGGAATGAGCGGCTCATTAAGAAGAAGGAAGTGATATTCGGAATAGAGAATGTGAGACTCCCAGCACGTCTATTTTTAGACGAGATATCTCTATGGCAGTCACTGCAGTGTTGGTTAATTGCAGCCACGGCCCCAGATACCAATTAAGAATGAAACAAATGCTTTTAAGGTGGGGTTTCGCTCCTCCCTACTGTAAAGGTCCTCGTGTCCGTTCTGGAGTGGAGGCAGGAGTGTGTTTGCTCAGCGTGTTTTCCTTTATCAAGTTGGGATATGCAGAGTGCAGTCAAAGCCGCGGCCAGGCTATTTTTAAATGAGCCCCTGTGGAAAGCAAGATCTAGATTTTCTTTTCATTATGGTTGCTTTTATATTCCAGGCTGTTGGATGTCCACCAATTCATTGATTTGCTGTGAATCTTAGGTCTTCTCAAAGGTAAGGGATGCATATGTGCTCAAGGATGCTTATGTACAGTATTTCTGCTACACCTGGCTCCTTGTGGTTCTTTTCTTCCTCCCCTGGCAGTGCTTTGCTTATCTTGTGAGTTGCTCTCGGGAGCCTCGAGATTGGTACTTTACAGTGCAGGGAGGATGACACATCTTTCTGTCATTCAGTTTCCTCATGACATCCTGTTAGTTCATCCTGCAGTGCTCTCGCCATCCACCTGCCAACAACAAACAGTGTCCCTCAACAAACTCCGGATTCCCGTTCATGACTATACGGTTTAGTATCAAACCTGTCTTACAGCACAGACCAGTTTAAATAGTAATAATATGAATACTGCAGCACCGGTGTGAGTCAGAGCTGACACACACAAAGTGCCGTCCATGTTGGAGTTTCCCTGAGTGTTGATAATGGTGTTTTGTTTGTGGGCTAATGTCATAGTCAAAAGATAATTTATGAGCTCTTCGCACAAGCAAAACAAACAAAAGCATATCCTTATGTCAACACATGCCTTTCTAAATTCTGCCCGTTCACAATTGATCCTCACATGGCTGGAGCCCAAAATGCATCCACCTGTCAGTTTTATTATTAATATATTACAAAATCAAACAATGCAGGTAACTACTTGCACTAATAAACATGAAGCTTAAGAATATGAAAATCCACCATGTCCTTTATAAAGTAAAATATATATATATGGGGATGGTACGAGCTTTCAACACTTGACAAGACAACACGATGATTCAGCCAGCAAGGGATGAATGGCAGGTTTTGCCATCATAAAACTACACATCCTCACACGCTCTAGAAATAAACTGTACAGTTTAACACACCAGTTTAAAAAAGCTCATAAATAATAGCAAGGCTGTAAGAATGTAGTGACATCTATTTGGGTAATATTATCTTTTGTAATAAGCGATCTCTCTGATGCTCAGCGCAGCTTTTGTGTATGGCTGCCAACAAATAAAAATCTAAGCCAGACCTCACATAGGAACAGAATGATTACAGTTTGCAAACAATTTGAAAACACTGATGACACAGCGCCAATATCAGTTTAATAAAAAAACATTCTGTGATTATTCCAAAGCTACTGACTCCCTTTTTAGTGTGCAAAGAAAGAGTGGAGGGTGTAAATAAGAGGAAAGGCTTACATTGTGCATTATGGATCAAGAATAAGCTAACTTCATTGAAAATGCTCTTTGACTAACCGTCTTGCTCTCTCTCCCCCCTCCTTCCCTCTTGTTTTCTCTCTTTCTCTCCCCCTCCAGTTCCACCAGGTTAGAAGAGTGATGACCATCCTGTTCCTTACTATGGTTATTTCATACTTCAGTTGCATGAGAGCTGCGCCCCTGAGAGACGCCCCGGGCATGCGGGGCCATCGGACGGAAGGCTACTTGGGCGCCGCTGCGACGGCCGCGCGAGGCCATGGGACTCCACAGAGTGGTGGCGGGCCAGGCCAGCGCGGGGAACTGCCCTCACTCACAGACACGTTTGAGCAGGTGATAGAGGAGCTGCTGGAGGTGGAGGGAGAGGCGGCACAGCTGGGACAGGGGGCTGATAAGAGCCAGGGAGGTGGGGGCCCATCCTCTGTGGTCACCACAGAGGCCAAGGATGTCGACCTGTACGACTCGCGGGTGATGATCAGCAACCAAGTGCCTTTGGAGCCGCCGTTGCTCTTTCTTCTGGAGGAATACAAAAACTATCTGGATGCCGCTAATATGTCCATGAGGGTGCGGCGACACTCCGATCCCTCACGGCGTGGAGAGCTCAGCGTGTGTGACAGTATTAGCCAGTGGGTGACAGCTGTGGATAAAAAGACGGCAATAGACATGTCTGGGCAGACAGTTACCGTCATGGAAAAGGTCCCTGTCCCCAATGGCCAACTGAAGCAATACTTTTATGAGACCAAATGCAACCCCATGGGGTACACAAAGGAGGGCTGCAGAGGAATAGACAAGCGGCATTATAATTCCCAATGCAGGACAACCCAGTCCTACGTGCGAGCGCTTACCATGGATAGCAAAAAGAAGATTGGCTGGCGGTTTATAAGGATAGACACTTCATGTGTATGCACATTGACCATTAAAAGAGGGAGATAGTGTATAAAATGTATAGATTTTATTGAAGAGTTTAAAAAAGAGAATAAAGAGAAAATATCTATTTGTATATATACATAACAGGGTAAATTATTCCGTCAAATGAAAATTTTATGGACTGCATGTAAAAAAAGATGAAGTTTATACAGTAAAAGTGATACTACAGTCTATTTATTGAACATATTCATGACCTTGTAAACAATTAAAAAAAATCTGATCAGTCATTTGCGCCCAGTTTAAATTACTATATCACATTCCTCAAGACATTGTGATTTGTTTACGTTGCCAAGAATTAGAAAATGAAGGAAAAAAACAGGCAAGGAATGAGAGAGGACAGTTCCATCTTCAAAAGCTTGCATGCTGCTTCAATTGTGAATTGAGAAATTCTCCACTTACAAAAAAGGATATGATGCTGACCAAAAAACATTCCGTTTACATATTCAGCAGAAAACAATTTTCCTCTCAAGTAATTTATCTGTTTACTGTTCTAAACTTCTCAAGGTAATGTTGGAATTACATACTATGTCAAGGTGCTGTTGTCAAAGCTTTGCTGTTTATTTTTTTATCCCCACCAGAGGACAAGATATATATAAAAAAAAAAAATTATATATATATATATATATAAAATTTATTCATTGACATGTTTCTGGGTTAATATTATTCATTTTGTATGTTGTGAAGTTGTTTGCAATATTAAACTGAAATATTTGAAGAAATAAAAATGACTATAGGCAACTGAAAAACAAAATCAATGTCGATAAAGTTTCAACAGTGCATTTCCAGGCAGGATAAACTTTATTATTCAGGCAGGGCGGAAGGCAGGCACACACACGCACACACACACGTGCACAAACGCAGAAATGACCAAATCCAATTAATGAATGACCAGGATGCTCATTTATAATTAATGTAGGTACAGTTTTAGAGGCTGCAAGAAAATGATGTATCTCCAGTAGCAGAGGAGTCATTGCATTGGGTATGCATATATAGTGACAGCAGTAATGACAGTGTTATGGGTGGCGAAGATGCATTTTTTTCAGCTCTTGGTTTGGAAAAAGCGGGAAAATGCTCCTAAAACCACTTCCTGCTCCCCACCAGCACATTACTGGAACACAAACTTACTGTATCTCCTTTGATACTTTGGTGTTTATACACAGATGTTCAGGGATTTACTTAATTGTTACTCCAGCTGCACTTGATATGTCACATTTAATAGAACTCCACATCACAAGAAAAAGCGCCTACACATACAAGTGTAGACTAGTGCAAGTAGGCTGTGGTTGTACATGAAGCATGCCTGAGTTTGACAGTGATGGATTCACCCACACATACACTTGTGTACATTGAAAATATACACCCAACATTTTCCCAGTGCATGGTAAACCATCTGTATATCTTTCTTTTGTCTTTGTAGCTGCACATTATGATTACAAGGTGAAGGGAACTGGTTTGGTATCTGGGTTAAGAGAGTACTGCAGCTTCAGATCAACATTCCCTCCAGCACATTAAAAGTTAGTGCATTACATTGTGACATCCCCTTGCTTGCCAAGTCTAGACACCATTGTTTAAGAGCGTAGGAGGCTAACAATAAAATGTCTTTTCAATCCCATGAAACACTTAACCATAAAATGACCTATTTCAAAAAGAGAAGACACGCATATATATAAAAAAAGAGATACACGTAATCCCGGCCACCTCATTTTACTTCTTCTTCATCAACCTGAAGGTAAGTGTGACCTCAGAAGAGAACCGGATCTTCCATTTTGAGATTTGGAAAAATCCAGAGGAGGCTGATGAAGATGCTGTAAGTTACTTTTTTGTTATACAGAAGCTGAGAACAAATAGAGAGTCTCTATGCCACCATGTGAGAAATATGACAAGTATGCAGTTTCAAATGATTCATTGTCTTCCAAGAAAAGGTAGTGAGGTTTCTTGTCACTGCCACACAGACTAAGCCTCGTAAGAATTAAAATGAAGTCTTTTTTTATTATCCCTTGGGAAGAAAAGCAGTTGTTACACTTTAATCCACCTTAAGATAGAACTGGAATGATTTAGTAAAATCTGATCGTGTCTGAGCACTAACACACCCTCAGCACGCACAACGATGAATCAAACCTGCAATGTATTTTAGACAAGGTAGTCTGAGTGGCTCTATTTATCATGAGCAGAAGCTCCAGGCTATTTTTGTTTCACAAGGCTTAAGTAATAGAAAACTGCCATCCACTTATCACACAGTTATTAAAGTAATGGACAAAATGACTCTGAAAGCTGTCTTTGAGTCAGGACAAAGCCCATATTATCTTTTGTGATCATAAATCATGGATGTGAATAGATCTTACAGTATGATGCAGTATCTCTTTGATCCAGAGCTGCGGCTGAAGCCTAAAGACAAAAACAAGAATGAAAAAAAAAAATCAACTGAACATTTTTATGCAGACAATGTATCAAAAATGACACAAAATAAAATAATTGCTTCTGCTGCTCGACTAAATGTGGCTCCTACATTCAGTGTGCTGAGCCTCTGGCCACACCCCATTCAGTGATGTCACAGCAGGTTTATTTCATCAGCTGTCAAAGGCAGACACTTTGTATGTCATCACCAACTGGGGTGTGGTCAGAACTGAATCATGCTTGAAAGTTTCAGCCCACAGAGCAGTGCAGCAGCAGCTTTCTGCAGGCTAGAGATGTGCTGCAGTCAACCAGTAGAGGGCGGTAGAGAGCATTCCTCCCAGGTGTCAACAAAAAGCCAAAGAAGCTTCTGGCTAGTCCCTTGTCACCATTGCACGGGACATTATATGTAACAATCCCTTCACCTATGAGCACACATGTAGACGTTCAGTACAGCTGATAAATGAATGATGCACTAACCCGCAAATGATTGCTGATGCTGTTGATTGTGTGATCATCAAATTGGTGACATGGGACTGGGAACACAGTGAGCACCTTTCATCACCTTCTTCCTGGTTGCTGGCCAACGAGACGTGACAGTGAGCTGAAAACAAGGCACCACAATGATGACGCCTCTCCTCCATATTCCTTTATGTCAACAGTCAATAGGAAGGACACAACCCAACACATTGCCTACTTCAAGTTACACAGTAGCATCCAACATATAGAGTGGGATTAAACTCCAGAGATATGCACAAAGGTATTAAAGGTATAAGGATCCTCAATAGAATAGAAATAGTCTTAACTCCCGTTCATTCATTCATTAGGATATTTTGATATATGTATATTTTGATATGTTCTAGTACAATATATTAAAACGTGATAGGCCTATATAGCAAACAAACTTAATTTCTTCTGGCTTCTTTGGAAATATATAATTTATAAATAATAATTTAAAACAATGACTGATTCACATGGTTAGGGAAGAGGCCTTCAGCGTTGGCTCGGGAACATCCAGGAACTACGGAAGAGAATGTGACGAGTTCGGTGTTTATTCCGCTTTACGAGGATACAGTGAACGCACCATGACACTGGCAGCTAGCCTAGCCGGCTAACTTGGCTAATCTGATTTATCGTCTCGGCTAAGCGCACGTAAAGCTAGCCAGGATTACCAAATTTAGTTTTCCATATCTGGCGTTTAACGCAATATCTACCTGACGTCAAAAAAGCCACTAATTCTCCAGGATGGCGTCTCTCGGGGAGCCAGTGCGGCTGGAAAGAGGTAAAGTTAATTGGCTAGCTAACGTTAGCCTAGAAATATTTGTTGTGGTAGCAGTTGACCTAGCCTAGCCACCTTTAGCCGAATAGAGCTGGGGGATGTTTGAGTTTTTGAGAGTATACTTTCTTGTTTAGTTGCCTGACGATGTGTAAATGATGTCTTGCTATTAACACATGTTTATGGCTTCGACTGATGATGTGTATTAAAGAGCGATGATTCTTCTAGCTCATATTAGTGACAACAGACAGCGATAAGTTACCCTCAGATATTCAGCGTGTGTTTGCATGAGAGCTTTATACTATATAGGCTTTATACACTCTGTAACACCGGCTTTATCGCCATTACCATCTAATATGAGCAGCGGGAAATGATTCATCGCGTTTAATTCAGCCCCAGTCCTTTCGTCAGGATGCTAACATTAGCTCCTGCTGTGTCTGCACTGTGGGTGGAGAGAACATTAAACCCACTTCTGTATGTATAAGTAAATAAATGTGAAACTGTACTCGCTATTAAGGATACTGAACTGTTGAGGGAAGTTGTAGCTCGTGATTTCATTAGAATTAGCTACAGTAGAAATTAACACAGATTTAAAAAAACAGTTTTTTCCTCATTATATTTTAATAGGATAAAATAAACTCTAAATATAGAAATATAAACAGATTTGTTTTTAACCTTGTGGATGCAGTTTCACATGGTTGTTATTTATTTGGACATTAACAGCTGATGATGTTTGCTTCTGTGGAGACAGAGGCAGTTACTTATTTTGTAAAATCTCTAGTTTGGCACAGTATCTTGCTCTGAAGGGTGATATAGTGGAAGTCGCCCTATTGATTTATGTAGCTTCATAGCTCATTTTATTTGTGGTATAAACAGTGCTGTACGCCAAGACAAGCTTCCTAGAGGGACACATTATTTATAATCAGATAAATGTTGTGCAAGTTGAGGTAAATAAAGTTTCAAAATAATTAGACATGTTAATTTCCAGAAAACGTATCACAATTTTACCACAATGCTTTAGTTTGTTGTTTTAGACATATATTAAGTGTCAGGGCAAGCATCTGTTAAGCTTATTCAGAGATTTCTGCATTTTAGTTTTATATTGGCACAGATTAAGTAATGACATTCACACAGGCAAACGTCATCGCCTATGTGAATGTCTTCATTTGCAGATACCAATAAAAACCTTGGCGGCGGTGGTGTATGTGTTCTTGTTGACAGATATTAACCGTGCTGTTGAACTGCTCGATAAGCTCCAGAGGACAGGGGAAGTGCCTCCCCAGAAGCTGCAGGCGCTGCAGAGGGTCTTACAGAGTGAATTCTGTAACGCTGTCAGAGAAGTGAGACACTTTTATTATTCTTCTTAAAGCACTTAACTGTGAGATGGCATTACATCATCTTTTCTCTTCTTATGTTAATCTTATGTGTTTGAATTTCTTTGTGATCACCTTTTGGGAATGTGATGAAAAATTGTCCAACAATGTCTCTTCAGGTTTATGAACATGTGTATGAAACAGTGGACATCAACAGCAGTCCTGAAGTCAGGGCCAACGCCACAGCTAAGGTAGATCCAAGTCAAATACCATCTAATACACAAGCATTTGACTTGCAAACAGTTTAGTTCTTAAAGATGCTCTAGTACCACTCATCACATTGTGCTGAGCTCAGGAAACGCAGTATATTTGCAAAGGTTAAACAACACCACTTTGTTTATTTGTAGGCTACTGTGGCAGCTTTTGCAGCGAGTGAGGGACACTCGCATCCACGTGTCGTGGAACTGCCCAAGACGGAGGAAGGCCTGGGTTTCAATATAATGGGTGGAAAAGAGCAAAACTCACCTATATACATCTCACGGATCATCCCAGGAGGCATCGCTGACCGACATGGAGGCCTAAAGCGAGGCGACCAGCTTCTCTCGGTTAATGGAGTGGTACGTTTAGTTTACAGAATTATGACTTACTCGTTAGGTTTGAATCCTCGGTCTAATGCCATGTGCAGATTTTGCAGGTAATTCATGCATTTTCATACATTTTCGTAGACTCAGCTTCATTAACCACCAGCTCATAAAATAAAAACTTCAGCAATTAGGGCAGATTAACAATTTAAAACCTTTCAAATTTACTTCTACGCTTCAAGTCAACTCAGTTTTATTTATATAGCCTAACATCACAAATCACAAATTTTAATCTTGTCATTACGCAACCTTTGAAATGTCACATAACATTAGTACTGTCTCTCCTCCTGAGCTTCCGTAGCAGACTGCTGCGTTGAGCCACAACTCCTAACTTGTAATTTTTAGTATGCTCACCTCCAAAGAGGACAGAGGTCCTCAGGAAATCTGGCTATGTTGGTTCGTTACCACTAGAAGTTGATAAACAACGTCCATTTGCCAGTTAAAAGATTTTCAATTCATTTTTGGCCACTAGTAGAATGTGTTTGTCCTCAATTTGTCAGTGAGGACACTTAAGTGTGCACCCATGCACAAAGATGATGCATGCTCAGTCTTGCCAATGGTTTTACGCTATCCCACTGATCGACAGTTGGTGGTTGTAAGAGTTGTCACCAAGTAAATGCAGCAATGCATCAACAAAGGTGAGAGAGAAGAAGGCTGCTAGCAATAAAATGTGGATGTAAGTTTCAAATTCTTCCAAAAATGGTGACTGAAAATGTTTTATGAGAGATAAAATGCATTCAGCACCCTTTATTATAGCTCAAGAATATACTTACTGTTAGGTGAGAAACTGTTGATGTAAACAATTTATTTTGTTTTGAAAAAAGATAAATGTCATGGGGTACCTTTTTAAAGACTCTACCACATTAGCTACAACGTTCACACAGCTGTGATCGCTGCTTGCTGTGCTTAGGTTGCAATTCCGGGATCAGCCAAAAACAATCATCCAATTGACTTTGTTTGTTGCTCAGTTTGTTCTCTCATTAAAATGTCCAAATTACAAACTTTTATAAGGTAAATTGAACCAAGCTGCCAAAGCTTATGTTATGTTCACTCAAATACCTATAAAATCCATTCCAAAGTTCCCACATACCTTGTGCTTGATTATTATAAACCTATAAAAACTGTAGACTTTACTACAGTTGTTATGGCCCTTTGTGATAAACTCTTACAGTACATTTCTGTGTTTTTTTTCCAGAGCGTGGAAGGTGAGCACCATGAGAAAGCTGTGGAACTCCTCAAAGCAGCTCAGGGCACAGTGAAGCTGGTCGTAAGGTACACACCCAAAGTCCTGGAGGAAATGGAGTCGCGCTTTGAGAAAATGAGGTCGGCGAAGCGTCGGCAACAGAACAACTATCCCCAGTAGGATTTTTCCGTCATGATGCCCAGCTCCCATGTCTCTCCTGCTCTAGCCTTCTGGCCATTTGTCCTGGTCTCTTTCTTATCTCCCTGCCCCCAAAAAAATAACATAACAAAACATACTACAAGTTTAGTTTTAGTTCCTACTCACACATACTGTATATTGTGCTTCTACCCTTTTCTGTAGCATTTTTAATATCTGCCATTGTTACACTGGACACTACAACTCTAGACAAACACTAGAATGAACATGATTGTCAGTGTAGGTGGTCACTCACACGTGTGCATTATTTTTGAATTGACAATTTGAATGCAACCAACTACACAATTCCTTTGACTGGAAAGGTAGTGTTTTTAATTCTTTTATCACAGCCACTACCAAGTGCCTCAGGGCAAACACGTTTATCTTATGTACTGTGTTCACCGTTCTTTCTTTTTAATGGTTTAAAGTCAGGTATTGGTAATGATATGCTTGTGGCAGGAGTTACTACATGCTTTTCATCTGTTATTCTCAACAATCATTTTATGTTATAGAAGTACACGCTAAACATATGTAACACCTTTAATTGTGCAAACTTCAAAAAAAAAAGAAAGATGCAGTTTAATTTGTATTGCCGCACTACAAGCTTTGGGGGAGTTGAATTTGTTAAGAAGGGATAGTTTATATGTTTGACGATAAGGGAAACCACTGAAAGGACACTTCAAAACAAAAGTGATGGATTATACTGGTATTTAAGGGTTTTCTCTGGGCTTACCCTTTTAGGTTTTCTAACGTCATACCACACTATAAAAAGCCCAGCAGGTACTGTAACTGATGTAATGGGGTCTCAGCAACTTTTGAACTAAATTCCTGCCACCACCGAGACTTTTATTTAAAGTAATTAATGAGAAACATAACTCTTGCAAGTCAGCATGACATGAAACCTGTTCAGCTTCTGATTCATTTGTCTTGACGTAAATCAGGAATGTTCTGTATGTCATGATTTTTCCTCTTCCAGGCACAATGCTTGAGATGAATGAGAATGAGAAGTCAGTTACTTAACATTTGTCTTTGATCTTTGCTAAAAACAGCCTGTGAGCATTGTTTGCGTCATTCAGTGAAAAGTTCAAAATGAGGGAAAAACAAGACACTCTTGATAACGAGCAATCTGATAATAAGAAACAATCCACGTCACAATAATGCCTAATGTGAGCTTTCATCATTGTTTTGATGAATGAAATGGCAGATGTTGATTCACACATATTGTATTTGGCTACTACGTATTCATCAAGACTTTACACAGTGTTTAGAGGATTATGCCCTAAATCTGTTGCATTGGCACATCTTTCACTGTTAGTTTCCTGTCCGTTTTTAACATTTTAATAATGAATGTCTTGCAGAACAACTTCATTTGAACATTTTGATCCTGGTAATCTCTGACGTCTTTTAAAGGACTTGGATTAAAGATCTAAGATGACACAGGTGCTGGGATAAGATGTATAGAAGAATGTCTTGAAATTTAAACAACCATTTACTTTAAGGATGCTCGTACTTGGTGCAAAGACATGGGTATGCACACACACATTTCAATAATGTAATTAGTCCAGACTTCTTCAGTGTGTCACTACAGATATATTTCTTCTTCTTTTATCTTCACTAACAATAATCTTTGCTCCATTAAAGCCAAACATTTAGTGGCACCCATTTACTCTGTATGTAATGTACAAACTGCATATCATGTTAAAATAAGAATGATGACAAACATTTTATTACTAAATACTGCCAAAAAGTCAAGTTTGTTCTGATATGAGGTTTTAAGCAGGCTAATGTCATACAGTGTCAAAAACACCCGATATACTGTATATGTAGGCTCTCCTACTACGTTTACATATACAACACTTATAAACAAAGTCTTTTTATAGATTTAAAGTGTTTGCAGAATGCATGTTTAACTATCATATTAATATTCCTCATATCAGGAGAAAACGTCTTATGCTGTGGAATATTGAAGCTTAAGAAAAACTGATTAAGAAGCCCAAAATCCAACCCTTATGCCTACATGCAACGTGTCAATCAAACAAGTTTGCAAGTCATGCTTTTCTTTCACATACTTTTATTAGTCAATATAAAACAACAAAAGGGAGTTTTTAAAGACATTTCTTGCTTGGATAAGTCAATTTCAATATAAATGACTGTCCGTTATAACCCGCTCATCATTCATTTCCACAAAATATGCCCCAGAACAAATTTAATTTCAGATAGTTATTCACAAAAGTGTTCCATTGTAGATGCAACATCATGTGTATATAGCGTAATGTAAACTAGGCTGTAGCTGACTAAGCCTTACTATCGTCCAGTCTCAGGATCAACACATAGTTGAGACAGGAAGGTAGTAACGATGTAGTGATTTATCTGGCGGAAATTAGATTGGATGGTGGATAAAGTGACAGAAACACATGGCAGTGTATGAAAAGCAGGAAAACTTTGCCTTCAGTTTGTTCTTCATAAATTAATTCCTTTTTAATGCATTTCAGTGTTGTACACAGGCTTATGCTGTCATGGCTGACATGACCTAATGCCTGTCACTCCATGTTTCTGTTTGCCTGTGTAGCTGCTTTTATGATGTCGTTACTCAAACCCTTTTCTGTTTTTCATTTGGTGCTTTTGTTGTTTTATCCACCATCTCTAAACATACAGTATGTTTCAATAAGGTTCAGCTGCCTATGACATTAATCGCTCCAACAGATTGTAAATAGCTCATTCAAAGGTTTTGGTACTTTTTGGCATAAAAAATGTGGAATTGTCCACAATCAGTGATCAATCCTTTTAGGTGGTAAATTTTTCCTTTTAAAGAAGATTCCTTAACATCACTAAATGCACTGAAACACATGTGTTAAAAAATACAATTATTAGTGTAAAGTTAAGGAAAGATTGGATTTTTTCCACAGGAATATCAGTTGGTGATAATGTCATATTTTTTTTCTTAATAATTGGAACTAAAGTCAAATTTAGAGCAAACAAATCTCTCATGTGCATCTTGTCCGTTACAGTCTATACATACATGTGTCTATAATTACCCTCCATGTCAACTCAAAGTCTGCTGTTCCTCCCTCAAATTGACTTGCAGGACGGTTCATTAACTTTTGCCGAACTGTATGTTACTTAGTAATATGATGATACATGATGAGCACATTGCCAAGTCGTATTTAGTGCGCGTGCTCCCTGTAATCCATTACTCCCTGTAATCCATTACTCCTTATGAAAAATGCCGAATTTTGGGACAGAGTAATAAAATAAACCGCATTACTGCAAAAACTGAATGCAAATCAATTATCTATGCAAGGTCATTTAGAAACTTTGGAAAAATCTTGTAATGGTGCAAAACAGCTGTCATTTTACAGCAGAATGTTATTTAAAATTACTACTCAAAGACTATGTAGACAAATGTCTAATGTAATACGACATGTTCAACACTTTCGGGACCGCTGCACTCTGACACATTGGAGTTACGTAATGTTATGAGACCTTTACAATGTTTGTTATTGTAACATTCTCACATTGATCACCATTGATTGTAGTTGCAGTGAACATTTCCACATGATAATTAGCCTTGCTATTTAATTAATGATTGTCAGGATGCATGTAGAAGACTAGGCGTATGTGAAAGTGTGGTTAGCAGTAGACCATCCCATAGGCTACTTCAAGCATACTTTGGTTTTGAGGCAGAGAATTTAGCAGAAGACTCGGGGTGTACATAGAAGTTTAAAGGTCTTAATATAATGTATAGTATGTCCCTTAATTGTGTTTTATCCAGCATTAGCTAGCTAGACTCGACGCTTACACACATGTATAGTAAATCAGGAAAAAATGTAATGAGACTTGGTATTGATATTGCACAGTCACACTCACCACTGAATGTCACTGACCATTGTCTAACTTAGTTGCGACATTTTGTGAAGTACCCTTCAACTTTCTACCCGTTTTCCTTGTCTATATATTGGAATGGTCAATAGAGTATTTTTTATAATACTTTTCTTTTGATATTTTTCTCAATTTTTATAAGTGATTTTCCTAAAAACAAATACCAGGAATGATTGGTACTTCCATTTTGACTGTGTACCAGGGCCATATCAGCAAAGCCTCTCTGAAAAGCAGTGCTGGTGTAGGATGGTCGCGGAGATCTCTCGACTGTATGAACGTACAGACTTCAGAGAGAAACCGTCCAATATCAGCACTTCCTTTTCTCAGACCTGAACTGATTTTTCTTTTCTTTCTAGTACCAAGACCAAACTTGCAACATTTGTGAAAACTTTGATAATGTTTTGAAAGTCAGTGCTTGTTAAGGATTATTACTTGTAGATTGTGTTGTCTTATTTTGTGTTTTCTGGTTTTCTTACCTAATTTACTGTATTACATTGATGTGGAATGTAAAATGTTGTGATGTAGAAGATAATAATTGGACTGGATGCTAAATAAACAGTGCTTAAATTTATGGATTTTAAGGGTCTTCTTGAAACACACACACACACACACACACACACACACAGCATTTATTTTACTTTAAAGCTCAGTATCATTAGGAACAACCATGATAGGGAATCCTGTCCCATGTGATAACATCCCTTCATAATGAAAACAAAGAGATATCTGTGTGCATGTCTCTTATAATTTCTTCAAGGGTTTAAAAAAATGTACAACTTGTTTTTACTCTTTGTACTTATGTTACATACAGGCTGCATAGTCGTCGTAATAACTGTCAGGCCTGATGCATATAAGGTATGTATGGTAGATGTTTGATAGAAATTCAGCATCGAGACCATGCTCACGACACACACTTGGAGCTCTTCTTGATGGAAGTGTAAAATCCTTGCTGTCAAATGCTGTTGGAAGAGTGAACCCACAATGAACTTGAATTTGCAACTACTGAGACTTAACAGTTTATTTTCTGACAAATCTGACATTTTCTTGTTGACGCACACCGCAGTGGCTGCCAGTAAATGTTTTCCCTTTCACATCAACGCTCCTCCTTTACTGTCTTGCCTTAATTGTATGAAAAGCAAGAAACTAGTTCAGAGATGGAAACAGAAAGTTGGTGAGAGCCTCACAGCAGTTTCAATCTAATGGATGTGACACATAGAGTCTCATATTTTCTAAAATGAGTTTAACATTTTCTCTTAAACCTGCAATAACAGTATGTGGTCATTAGGATGTGGAGGCATTCAGATGTGCAGAGATTTTCTTTTAAGCCAAAGAACTGCTTCCTCTTACATTGATCATGAACAGGAGAGCAAGACAGGCTTCTTTATAGTGGGGATTCTTCCCTGTCTCTCCATCTTGTGCTTTATATGTAGACACTGTATGTTGCTGGTTATTGTGGCTGTTGTGTATACACACTTTCCACCTGCTGGTATGTATAACATAGGTGAAAATAAACATATAACTATCTTTGTTCAGCTTTGTTGCGCTTGTTCTAGATGTATGTGTATGTGTATTTTTGTATTTTTAGTCCTCCATTTCTACTGAAACAGTCTAACACTGAGTGAAAAACCAACCAGAGTCATATTCCTTGTGTGTGTATGCATACTTGGTCAATAACGCTGATTCTGAGTGCTAGTGCTACCCTTGTGAATGTTGTTACATTTTTAATCAGACAGATTGATTTAACTTTAAAACATTTCTTGAGGCTGTGATAGTCTTGCTCGTTGAGAAATAGAATTGGGTTGTATGTTCTTAAAGCTTTCCTACCTTGGATAGAGCTATGTTTAAGAGGTAATTTCACCCAGATGCATCCATACGTCTGAGAGGAGCTCTGTAACAGGAGCTTAGTGGTAGATCGGTGGCTGGTTGCCTGGAACCAAACCGTGCATGTGACAGCGATTCATTAGAGCTGGTTGTTCACACTACAGCTTGAGAGCAGAGCACAGCTGTTGGTTTCTCATGGTGTGGATCCAATCCATTGCAGAGTGTTGTGTCACTTCGTCTTTTCTGGCAACCAAAATCAATCACGCCCAGGAGCGAGCCCGGCAGCAGCAGCAGGGGCCGAGGATGAAGCAGGAGGCCAAACTGGACCAGGAGCCAAATCAGCAGTAGGAACAGACAAGGAAGAAGGAATTGATTCATGTTAATATACTGTACAGTAAAACACACATACACAAAAAAAGCTGCCGTCGGTGCTGAAAGGTGAATGGAGAAATAAAGCTGCGTTGCATCTTCACAAAACAGCAACCTTACCACAAAGAAGAAGTTAATTCCAAAAAATACAGATGAATTACAAAGTATACCCTCTGATGAGAAGATTTAAAGATTCCTGTCTGAAAAAGCATCCTCTCCACACAGATACTGCGGCAAAAATATCAAGACCCAAATGATGGAGTCACGACGTCTAGCAGAGATTAAATGTATCACAAGAAGACACAAAACCAGAATGCTGACTCAAGCAGCATTTACTGAGATGGATCAATCTTTTGAAAATGATTTGACAGCGATTGGGATATACCTTAGAATACATAGATAGATATAGATATACCTTAGGAGTGACATGATTTGGAGTGGCAATACCCTACCGGAAATGAACACTAGGAATCAATAGAAGAACATCTAATCAGTTAGTTGTTTATACAGTGGAGATGGTGTCAGTATGGGTTGTGTTAAAACAAATTTAAAAAACACTAGATGAAGTAAGGTTTGAATTTGATCAGATTCATCCTCAGTTCTGTTTTAGGTCATTCCATTCAAACAGCCGTTCTTCAATCAGTCACTAGAACAACAAAACAGAGAGGACATTTCTGTGGCTTCTAGTGCATGTAGAGGTGTTGGGAAATGAGAGAGTGGATATATTGGCAAAGAGGGCATCAAGGAAAGAAAAAAATGGAAGAAATAGAAGTTGAACCTGTAATAAAAAAACCAACCAAATGTCTTAAAGATAATAGAGACGGCACCGGGAACAGGAGAGAGGAAACAGGGATGTTAATGTGAAGATTGGGGCACTGTGAACTAAATAAAACACAGAAAACAGAAGAAAAACACCAGACAGGGTTGTGTGAGGGAGGTCAGGAAGAGGAGCCGAGGGACATGTAGTTTTAAGTTGTAGGAGGTTACAGAGAGAGAGAGAGAGAGAGAGAGACGATGAGGGGAGAATTGATGGAACGAGGGGTGCTTGAATTCACATTAAAGGGATTACTGAGCATTAGAGCACAGATTTGGGTATTGTTGGCCTTTTTAAAGGATACAGTGGTTTCCTATTGGATGAGAGAGATAAACAAGAATGTGTGAAAGTTGTAAAGCACAGAGGATAAAGTACAGGTTAGATCATAAATCTATTTTCTGATTCACACTCCGAGGCAGAAGGTGGCGCTAATGCACCCATAATCTGGATGCCTACCGCCTTAAAAGATGAAGAGGAGGAAGAAGAAGAAGCAGCGCGGTGTCTTCCGCTTTCATCCGGTGACGTAACTTCCTTTCTGTCCGTGCTAACCTCGACGTGAACACGCGTTCGTCTGTCTGACAAGTGAGTGTCTGTTTTATACTTCAATAAATGTGTAAATCACGGAGAGAACACGCGTGTTATACTAAGAAATAAGTAATCGTCCGACCCTGGTAGCCGAAGCAACCTTAAAGAGGAATTTTAACTGTATTTTTTAGCTTTTAAGCTCCGCGGCGTTGACGGCGGCGGCTAGGTTAGCTAATGTTAACGGTGCTGAGGAGCCACATGGGTGTAAAGACTGTAGCTGAGGTTGTTCTGCTCTCACATTGTACAATATTTGTCCGAGAATATGTAACTAGTGTTTACTACAGCAGGTTTATGCTAAATTCTCGCTAACATGCGGTTCGCGGTTCGCTCAGAGGCTCAACAGATGGATGCCTGTTGATGTTTCCTCTTTATGCTGCCTGAAAATCACACATGTGTGGTATTGTGTTATAATTGTGAGGCTCATTGTTCAGCTCAAACATTTGTATGTTAAAATCTCTGATAATAACATGTGATGTGCGAAAAGTTTTACCGAAATATCACTTATAGCTGTTGGATTAAGGCAAAAAAAGTTAAAACAAACTATAATATAAAACTAAATATACTATTTGACAGTGTCACTCTTTGTGCTTGCTGGTAAAATCCTAAAAATAGATTAAACAATTAAGAAGCTCAGCCTATAGATGTTTTTCCCTGTAATTTGCAAAGCAAGATTTTTTTTCTGATACACTATGTGATTGAGGTTAACCCTAAATAAATCTTAAAATCAGATACAAGCCACCAGTAGATGAAAAGTAAAGGATTTGCCTCCAGTTGCCAAACTTATAAATTATATTTTAAATAAAAAGCTTTAGTTAGAATTGTGAAATGCAAGGAAGGAGAAAAGATCCAGTTAGAAAATCAGATAAGAAATGTTGGCAGCAATGTTTGGTGTGATTTTTGGTTGTAGTGGATCCCCTAAGGACAGTGTCTGTATTTTATAATATATTAATATATTCCTTCAATCTGTCAGTATGTATTCAGAATTGCAGAACTTAGTCAGTGTTATATCTTATTTTTACGTAGAAAATTGAGAAATATGTTAAACGGTGGGTCTTTGTTTCTGGTTGTTTTTCAGGATGCGTTACGTTGCTGCTTACCTGCTCGCTGCCCTGGGAGGCAATGACAACCCTGAGGCCAAGGACATCAAGAAGATCCTGGAAAGTGTTGGTATTGAGGCCGATGACACACGTCTGGGCAAGGTACAGAGCAGTCTGCTCCTCGTTGTGTTTCTTTAGCAGTTCTACCAGCAGATAGTCATCTTCTTTGTGATCTTCACAAATGTCCTCTCTCTCTCTCTCTCTCAACAGGTCATCTCTGAGCTCAGTGGCAAGAATGTGAACGAGGTCATCGCCACAGGTGAGTGTACCAACGTGCCTTTTGATTCTTTGCTCAAATTAGTAGGTGTTAGTCTCCATTTAAAGCAGCATCTTTATACTGATATTCCTGTGAATTTATCCCAATACATCTTTAAGGATTCAAGGTTATTTTGTCATTACCAACGCATGGTTGTCGATTGAAATTTAGATATAGTTCCCTTTTAAGCTACTTTAAAAACAAAGTCTTTACCAGGATTACACAGTGGGGCCTCCTTTCCTTTAAAGAAAGTGATAGTTGACTTCTGTTGGCACACAAGAACAAAAAATTAAGAGTTTAAATAAACAATATTTACAATATTAAGCAACTTTGCTTCTCATCACTGGTTTCACTGCATGCTAAAAAAAGATGAACAGTGTTCTGACATTAGATAAGGTTGGAAATCCTAAAACCATAATTATTTTGTGATTAGGGTTATCTGTAAATACAAAATGGTTGATTCACGAACAGTTGTGAATAACAAGATACACTTCATTGTATGTGTGGATGTAATGTTTCCACCGGTTTCAGGTGAGACAAACAAATCACAACTTTTGACTGTATATCGTAGTATTTGTACTGTGACAGATTATCAGAATCAGAAATACTTTAATAATCCCAGGGGGAAATTATTTTCATTACAACACTCCAGATATACTAACAACATATATATATATATATATATATACATACACACAACATTCAGCACTATAAATAAATATATATACATACATACATACATACATACACACACAAGATCAAATGTACAGTATTAATGTGCAAAAGAATGATTGTCTATGTTTTGAGTCAGAATTACAGAGGGGGGGTATCTGACCCTCTGAGGGAGGCGTTGTAGAGATTGATGATCACAGGCAGATTATAAACTTAAAGTGCATGATAACAGTAATTGAGACAAAATTCTGTATATGATCGCAGGCAGGAGCAGTCTGTTCACTTAACTTAGCTAAAATGGTCAAATAGATTAAAGATGTTCCCACATTGAGGCCAAGAAAAGACTATTTAAGCTATTTCAGAGTACTAGTAGACAACTAAATTTCAGATTATATGTAATAACATAGTGTTTCTGACCTCTGTTTTGTCTTGTTCTGGCTGCTGAGTGTCAGTGTAATCACTTGTGTTTGTCTGCCAACTCGTGTCTCCTCAGGTTACGGTAAGCTGGCCAGCATGCCAGCAGGCGGTGCCGTGGCCGTTGCCAGCTCTGCGGCTGCTGGCTCAGGCGGAGCCGCAGCCCCTGCTGCAGGTGAGCATTGCAGCTTAGCACTGTGTTTGTCAGCATCACTGACACTTGGCAAATGGTGCTGTTACCTTCACCTTGTATGTTAATATGATTACACGCAGCCAAACCATTAGTTTTTGACAGAATTAAATGTTACAAATCTACACAATTTAAACCCGACAAAATGTACCTGATGGGTATAAGTCATGCAAGTAATCTGTTATAGATATTATTTCTTATGTTGGAGAAACTCATAATTTGTGTTAGGAAAAGTATGTGACCTCATATGAATTCAATTCATATTAACACCAAGAATAGTTGACCAAAGGTCAATAAAAATTATGCACAACTCGCCTTAAGTGACCTTTTATCAGAAAAGCTCTATTTCCATATTTTATAGTGATTATAGCAGGAAATTATATCAAGTGCTTCTTGTTTTGCAGCTGCTGAGGAGAAGAAGGAAGAGAAGAAGGAAGAGTCTGAGGAGTCCGATGACGACATGGGATTCGGCCTGTTCGACTAAACTTTTTCATAAGATGAATAAAGTTTATAAAAAAACTCCAAACTATTGAAATGTCTTCTGTCGAATGAAAGTTATATCTGTATTTAGTAGGGTGGGGAAAAGTGGTAACTGAGGTACAATGTGTGCTGCTTCCTGAAATAAAGCACAAGTAGCTGCTCATATCCCAAGGTTTTAAAATAATTAATTTGACTAGATGGTACACATTAATTTTTGTATATATTCAAAAACAAAATTTAAAAGGCCCAGTGAACTGCCTATTCTGTGTTAAATTGTAATCCTGCAGTAGTTGTGCTGTAGGACACCAGAGCAACTTAAATACTGCAGCTACATCTAGTTATTGGCTCATGAATGGTGTAATTGAGCCCAGTAGTCACCAGATGGCGCTGTTGAGTTCTGCACAGCTCACAGGAGGAAACGAGACACCGTCGGTCCTTAATGTCGGCCACTGTGGTTATTGTTGAATTAACCATGAGCATGAGCGTTGGTCCTCAACACCAGACCGTAGCCATGCCAATAAGCTGCATTATTTAATGCCACACACCGACCAACGGGTGACCAGCTGATATGCGTGTAGCTGCACGTAGACATCTCTAGGTGGTTCGTCATGTGATACGTGACGTCGGTTACGTTAGAGAGGCAGACCGTGAACTACAGACCTCACAGCGACCTTTAGTGAATATTAGAAAGTATTTTATATTTCATTATCAGTGATTGTTTCTATACTTTATGACCCTGTGGTAAAATTATATGACATGTACTTGGTTTTTGCTGTGTGTTATGCTATCAGGACTAATACTCATATAGGTAGTCTCTAACAGCCCTTTTAGACCCTTTCCAAACCCCCTTTTTACTATATACTCATATCTTTTAGTTTAGTGGCAGTACCACAATGTATAAATACTAAAATCCTGAATTCAAAACTTAACTTAAGAACAAGAAAAAGTATTAGAAACAAAATATCCTCAGAGTAGGCCTACTGAAAGTTAAATAAGTCATACAGAATGGCCTATTTCAGAGTAATGTGTATTATATGCCTATAATTTACAGGGTTATCATTACTGATACATTATTGGATTATAATTATTGATATATTGATGTGTAACCATCACTTTAATGTGGAAGCTGTTAAAGGGGTGGCTAATTTTAATTACTTTATATAAATCTTGGTAGCTTATGAATTATACCCCCAGGGGCCAACAAACTTGTATTGTAACCTACTATCATAATGTACTTATTGATTCTATTTAGTGTCAATAATCTGAATCTGCAAAGTAACCAGTCAATAAAGTTATCAAATAAATGTAGTGAAGTAAAAGGGGAGGGGGAAAACAAACGTTATAGCTCATTACAAAAGAGCTGTTCAACTAATCGAATGTTCAAATTCACAGTCAACATCAAAACCAATGAATAACACAGGCAACTTATTTCAATAGTGAATTCGTTATTACCACTTCCCTCTCAAACATCATTGCTTTGATTGCCATGGCAACCGCTAATGTCATTTTCAACCGTAGTCCATGAGCAGTGTGTTTTATTTGTTTTATTAGTGCCACGTCACTGTAACTGATGAATATTATTTACAACATCACAAATACAGATAGAGGATGACTGAACTGTCTACTTGCAGCCATCATTGCCCTATGAGAAAATGGTCTAATACACAAATCTGAGGTATAGTTTTTTTGTTGTTAGGGCAGCACTTTCTAATAGACACAATGCCTACAAATCCATGCTTCTAAGCTACCAATGCCTAGTATAACTATGGCCCCAAATGGAACAGCTAATAAATCTAATAAATGGATCTTGGGGGGTGACACAATTATTATTATTATTTTTTATTAACCTTACTTTGTCCCTCCACCTCCCTGTCTTGTTCAAATGCATCAGAGCTGTTCTGTCTGGTGACCTATGATCCTTTATGCCAAACTAATACAGTGTGTCTCAATAAGCCAATTGGTCATGTCCTGGTGTGTGACTAGTTTGTTACTTAATACACAACTTTTCAAGTTTTGTAATGCCACTAAAATACAGTTGAGTCAGTAGATGGAAGCTCTATGTCAGTGTTTTGGATTTTTTTGAGTTAAATGGAGGACAGAGGGTATTGTCTACTGTAGAGATTATTAGTCTTCTGATCTTCTGATTTTAGGTTATATAAATGAACTTGATACCTTTCTCACACTCTAATTTTCCTATTCTGCCAAAACAATTGAGCTAGGTTACCCATTCACAATCATGGGATAGGGGCACCACATTATTCTGTCTGGGGGGATTCAGATAAACAGCTGTATTTTGTGTGAAACCACAGATGTTTCATTTATTAAACTTCAGTCCATGACTTATCATTTCTTAGACTCATTAGACAATTTAATGATAAATCCCCCTTATACCAAAATGCAAACATAAAAGTGTTTTACTTATCAGCAAAATGTATATACAGACTCAAAAGTAAAAGGCTGTGTTAATTTGCATTATTGGATTATTTTTATTCAAGATTAAAGATTCAAGAGGTTTATTTATATTAATATATTTATATTATTTAGGTCATATGCCCAGTAAGAAACACACTGGTTTATACATACAATGAAAATCCTACTTTGCCCCACTCCCTTTACACAACAGTACAACAATAAGACAAATACACAACACAAATAGAAGAATAGGATAAAGTTAAAATATAACATATAACTTAAAGGGCAGTGTACAGTAAACCTATTAACGTAAAGCTGGTCGAGGTGGACTTAGATGAACTGCTTTATACACTGCAAGTAACTGATAGCTAAATCTATAATGTATTATATGTCATTCCCCAAATCAAATGGTTTGAATTATATTTATAAGACAAATAAGTATTAACTTTAGCTGTCAGATCAATCCAATATTTTGAAAAACGGAGGAATGTTAACGTGGTAAAGCAGCTGTATAAAAAAATACCCATGTACACAATTATTACAAGATTGTACTCGAGTAAATGTACTCAGTTACTTTACACCACTGCGGAAAAAACCCTCAGACCCCGAGGAGCTTACCAAAAACACTAGCCCCGCCCCTTTTCCGGTCAGTGACGTAACGGACCATACCATCTGCTTAACCGTCGACGTTCGAGCCGTTAGCCCGCAGTGGATTGTCTCGTTCGCGGACAGTGAAGGTTACCTGCTTCAACAGTGCTTGAACGGCAACCTCTCGTCTGTCTCCACACACCTCCAGGACCTTTGAATCGACAACATCAAATCAAATTTTTTAATTATCTTTAAAAAAAACAAAACAAAAAAACATCCGTTAAGCTAACGTTATCTCGCACACGTTTAGCCCGCTTGCTAGCTGTAACGTTGACTGTTTTGCTAACAGCGCCAACCACTCGGGACAGCTTTCTTTTCGACCTCCTGACAAGAAGAACAGATATTAGGTAAGAGTACACCTCCGAGTTTTCTTCTTATCTTTCTTATGTGTGTGTTTACTTGGTGCTGGGGCGGTTGTTTATCTCCTTGACCCCCACAGCCCTCCCTCCCCGTCAGTGTGGCCTTGGCGCAGTTTGCGCTCCAATAACTAAACTAATCTCTTCAGGTGTGCCACACAACAACAACAACACAGCAGTACTTTATTTAAGTACTTTATATTTTCGCGAGTTAAAAACATCCCTAATGTGCTTTTGACGCATCTGTAGTTAAAAGTGTGTTCGCTACATACAGCTGTTCAGGTTATGTCATGCTAAATTATATGTAACCGTGCCAAACAACGTGATACTTGGGTAACCATTATGTCTGGTATCGTGTGTGTGTGTGTGTGTGTGTGTGTGTGTGTGTGTGATGACTTGCTTTTATTGACGGAAAGGGCCTATCGATTAGGATACAGTCATATCATATTGCTTCACAGGCTCGGCAATGCAGTTATTGTAATGTTAGTAATAATAGTTACCCACTTAGTCACATTTTTACCTTTTTTGCATTTGAATTAAAAATAATTTTCACACTGAAGACTGACTTTGATATGATGCCAGAGTAAAGTGATAGATATCCTCTATAAAATTCATAATCAATTTAAATTGACCTTTTTGATTAATTGTTTAGTTTCTACTTTAAATTTCACAGGGTAATTTCTCAAGAGGTCTTTTTTTTGTCTGACCCAACAGCCAATATTTGATTTACTACGATGTTAAACAGAGGAAACCAGCAAAACCACACATTTGAGAAGCGTGACCCACACAATGTTTTGCTTGATAAATAACTTTAATGATTAACTGATTGTTATCGGTTGGTTGAATAATTGAGTAATGGACTAACTGTGTCAGCTCAAATTGTGATTTATACTGCGTGGACTTATATCAATGTCTTATGTTACACACACACACACACACACGTGAGTTGTAAAAATTTTTTTTGAATTGCGGTTCGTTTGCTGTGTTTCAGAACCATGAGTTCTCAGGTGAGACAGAACTTCCACCAGGACTGCGAGGCTGCAATCAACAGGCAGATCAACCTGGAGCTGTACGCCTCCTACGTCTACCTGTCTATGGTGAGAGTCCAATAGGTGGAGAAAAGTGTTCAAGTGATTGAAAACCAGTTGAGTGAGTAGAGATGAGCGGGTGGAAGAGCTGATGATAGTAAAGGTGGAACATGTCAGCGTAAAGGGGAACAATTACGCTGATACCCATTATTATCGAGAAGTAACCTCAAATAGACTGTTTTGCTGTTATGTAACTGCCGTGCTGAGTGGGCTTATACACCGTGTATCCTCATACACCGACTCAAGTGCAGCCAGTGTGCCAACATCCTTCACGATGTGAAAGCACGTGGGAAGTTTGGAAGAGAGTCAAGTGGCCCGCTGCCATTATATAGAAAAGACACCATCAGTACAGCCATTTTCATTAAACATAAACTGGTGAAAAATGTGGGTGACTTTTTAGGTGTCCGTTTGATATTGTGTGTGTGTGTGTGTGTGTGTGTGTGTGTGTGTGTGTGTGTGTGTGTGTGTGTGTGTGTGAGTGAGTGAACTGAGGTGAAATGAATGTTGTGTGTCCAAGTCATAAAACAAAGGTTGAAGTTCCCTTTGAAATCATTTGCAGGGACAGGGCAGAGAGTGTATCAGCTGCCCTTAAAGCACAGCGCTCACCTATTGATCCCACACACAGCTGTGTAAAATGTCTTACCCATGTTACATTAAAACTCCCAATTTTTTGCTATATTTAAGAGCAGATTCACCAGATTTATATTGCATAAATATAAATGTTTTGTTTAGTTGAGACGATTTTGAAAGTTCTGTATTTTATTTGCCATACCTCTAGGGGTTGAAATGTTTTTATTACCAGCACTGTTAATGATTAAAAACAAACAGCTAGGTAGTTGGGTTTTTTTTTTGTTTTCGGACACATTTCAGGACTTTTTTTTTGCTTCAGCTGAAGGAAATGGATGATGTTGAAAACACCATGATTCCCCTCTTTCCCCCTCGCAGGCATACTACTTTGACCGGGATGACCAGGCATTGCACAACTTTGCCAAGTTCTTCCGTAATCAGTCACAGGAGGAGCGCGAGCATGCCGAGAAGCTGATGAAAGTTCAGAACCAGAGGGGGGGAAGGATCTTCCTACAGGATATCAGGGTATGAGCTCATATTTGATCCTATACATTTGTTTATTTTAATTTTGTGTGTGTTTTTAACTTATGCCTTGGGTGTGAGGTTTCTTGTTCTGGGCTGTCGTACGTCCCGCGTTCGGGAGGGCAACATAAGGACGTATAGATACAGAGGGCGTGGGTGTTCTGTGCTGCTTATCTTTCACTGACACACAAACACAACCCTTTTAACGTTTGAGTTAAACGTTAAACTGTAACCCACTTTGAAATAATCGGAAAGCTTTCTGACCAGGTTGTCGTTGGCCTCCTCATTTAGTAGGCGTCTCACTGTTTTCCTGACCTGCTTTGTATTGCAGAAGCCAGAGAGGGACGAGTGGGGCAGTGGCATCGAGGCCCTTGAATGCGCCCTGCAGCTTGAGAAGAGCGTCAACCAGTCCCTGCTGGACATGCACAAGCTCTGCTCTGATCACAATGACCCACATGTGAGTATTAAATCGGGAGCTTGACGGTTGCACAGCGAGGCACTTAAAACATTTTTGTTCTTTCATGTCACATTTTAGTTTTAGACAACCGTTAAATTCATTGAGTGTTTCAGCTCCTAATCCGATTGAAACTCTTTCTTTCAGTTGTGCGATTTCATTGAGACACACTACCTGGATGAGCAGGTGAAGTCCATCAAAGAACTGGCAGACTGGGTGACCAACCTGCGCCGCATGGGGGCTCCTCAGAATGGCATGGCCGAGTACCTGTTTGATAAACACACCCTGGGCAAAGAGAGCAGCTAAATCCCTCCAGATCACATTTACAAAAGCTTTCTATATATGTATATTTGTATCTTGTTTTCAAAATATCAAGCCATGTGCATGATACTGGCTAGTCACTTAAATCTCTTATATTACTCATGTAGGTCATTATTGCCATTTCCTCCACATTAGTTATTTCTGTAATCCGGTTCTCCGAGCTGTGAGCTACCTTGCACCTCTCTCTCTGCTGCTCTCTATGCCTATATCATAACTATGTATCTGCTGTGTTTTATGCCAGGAACTGTTAATCCAAACAAATAAAAGGAACCCTCTGGATTCTGATTAGTCTCATTTTTTATTTATGTTGTCTAATATTAAAAACAGAAGTTTCATTTCTGAAAAACTCCCCCACTTATAGTATTTGTAATCTGTTTCACTTCCATTTACAATTACAGAAGAAAACGGAACTAGGCAAACACCTGATGCATTTAGTAAAATGTTCCTATGTCGCAATAATAAAGTCTCTATTATAGGGTCAGTTTTTATATCTTCCCAAATGATGTTTTTAAAGATCTGGCTATTGTAGAAAAGGACAACCTTTTGGTATTTGAAGACTCCGAAGACTGGTCATCAAGACAATCACAATATTTAAAACTGAATGTACAGCACATAATTACCATTTGCCTCAGAGCCTGCGGTCTCCAGAAAATATACACCAGCAGCTTGTTGTGAAACTAATTATGATCATCTGCCCTTCACGACTTAAGGCATTAACAAATTGCCAACAGTCTCTTTTGCTAAAAAGCAATACAGTACTTATTTTATGATATTAAATTGGCAAAGACCTCGGAACTTACTATATTTCATAGACCGTTTTGATCTGCTTCAATCAATGCTTCCAAAGGAGGAAGTATAATTAGTGATCAGGGGATTTCCTGATGTTTGAGACTACCTGCGTCACCGAGTTCCTCTCCTTTTGTAATGACACATTCCCGTCATGGATACAGATTATTGGCACCGACGGTTGTCACTCCCTCTAGTTGTGACTGCCAATAACAATAAATATATTAAGTGTATTTTGACATGCTTTAAAGTGATACGCCATTAAGAATCTACTTCAATACAGGAAAAAAACTTTTTTATATGCACTATGCATACTGCATACCAAGGAAAAACACTGAGTGAATGTCATCTGCATCACACATGGATGATTTAAGATTTCTGGCCAATTTGACTATTTCCTCACCTTAAAAAAGTTTCTAATATTTTATCTTTTTATACCTTTGTTGGAAATAGTGTGCCATACTATTTGAAAACTTGACCCATACAAGTTACAACTGCATGATTAAGAAAATGTCCTTTTGTAATTCAGTACAGCCCTTTTCATTTTGGAATCTGCATCAATGTAGTGAAATCATGTAAAAGTACACAATATCTGTAAATATACACCTCACACCTTAATTTATTCCAAACAAACCAGGATAGTCAAGAACAGAACTGAAACAGACCTAGAAGAACAACTTTGAGGCACCTTTCTGAAATGACAGGATCAAAACCTAAGTACTAATATTACAAAATCAACCTTTGTTATCCCAGTGATCATCACATTGACTGGGGAATATATATATAAATGTGAATTAACAGCTCCCACAATCCTTGTCAGACTGAGCTGTTCACGCTTCCTCAAGCTCCACCAGCACACCGTCACAGTCTTTAGGGTGGAGAAACATCACTGGTTTGCCGTGAGCACCTATTCGAGGCTCTGCTGACAGAGTTCTGATGTTCTTCGTTTTCAGGTCGACTATTGCAGCGTTAATGTCATCTACCTGCAACCAGGAGGAAAACTTAATTATTAATCTAAATTTGGTTAGTCTGATTTACACTCCATTCATACTGATGATCTTTAAATGCACAGTAAAGTGTAAACATGTAATTTATTAGCTGTATTAAAGTGTTACACAGAGCTGAGGATTTTAAACTAAGGTTTAAAATGTGCAACTCGTTATACAGAAAAAACACACCACTGCACACTAAGCTGTCCCTTTCAACCCCAAACACAAGTGTAGTTTCAAATAGCACTTAGACTTATGCACAACATGTTTGTAGTGGCTTTATTGCCATCATTTGCCATCAAATTAGCGACTGATTTGTTTGACAGAAACACATAAAACCACATAATACGTTGCACATTTCACAGTTCACAAATAAAACTGTCAGTGCTCTCTGGTGGACAATATTGTTTCTGCTATTGGTTGACTATTGCATACATTTGTTTTCTCATCATTGCTTGTTACTTATTGGTCGATCTGTAAATCATCAGTGATTTATCAGTTTAATAAAATAAATGTGGTTTAGGATCCCTAAAAAAAGGGAACCAAATGCACCAATATTCCCTTAAACTTCATCAAACATGTTTGTTTCTACTTCTGTTCTTCTACTAAAAGGTAAAAGCTGATAGTTTAAAACTGCAAAGTCTCCAGACTTCAGTCCAAAATAGCACATTCGGGATAAATTGGAATCTTGCAATTTATCAAATATACTAAACTATAAAATAAACTATAACATTAGACCAGTTTTTATCAAATGGGGGTACGTCTACCCCTAGGGGTACTTTGGAGTACTTCAATACTTCAGTGCCTGACATCTAAAACAAAAGTTAATCAAAAAAAATATCAGGCATGTATAATTCCTAAAATAATTATACAAGTTTAATTTTAAAAAAATGTGTTTGATAAGCCACATTTTATATTCAATATTCCTATTTTTAATGCCTGTCGTAAACGGTCAGTCGCAGTTCAATGCAACTACCATGCGGTCTTAGTGTTAATGCATGACAACAAAGTGATGCAGTGATGGATTCTAAACATTTGAAATGAAGTATACATTTAAGTGTTTTTCTTAATAACTCAGACACTGATGGTGCGACACTGTATTGAACCTATTTAAGTAATGAAAAAAGTTTGAGAAACACTTAATTAGAAACTTGGACTCTTTAAACACAGAAGTCTCTAATAATATATGAATAATACATTCCACTCAGGTGTGTCAGTGCCATCGGGGCCTTGGTGTCGAACTCGTTCACAAGAGACATTTTGAAATGTCACAGTTGTAATTTCAAAAAAAGTTCTCGCACACAACAAAGCCTTGCTGACAGTTGCTTAAGATAAAAAACTCCTGACTTGAAAAGACAGTGGAAGAATCTTGGACACTGTGTATTTAGCTACTTTGGTTTCAGGATCCTGGTATGGTGCATGCTGGCTCACTGTCACGGCTTACTGGGACACTTGAATAAGACAGAGCCATCAATAATGTAACACTTGTGCTTTTCCAAGATGGACAAGTGAAAATGTCTGCAGTGAACATTGCTGGCTCACTTACACAACTGCTATGACAAATAACAATGTTTTCTTCTCAGGCTTATCTGAGGGTTAGGGTGAGTGTCATCAGTGTCAGTCTCACCTCAATACAAATGTGGTGCATCCCTCCAGACTTGTTCTTCTGTAAGAAGCCGGCGATAGGGCTCTTCTCCCCCAGAGGATGGAGCAGCTCCAGCTTAGTATTGCCAAGCTCCACAAACACTGTGTAGACGCCGTGCTCGGGCAGGGGCACCTTGTCGCTCACTGTGGCCCCCAGCACGTCCCGATACAGAGCCGTGGCCTTCTCCATGTCAGGGACGGCAATGGCAATGTGGTTCAGCCTCCCCAGCTTCCACAGCGACCCAGGAACACCCTGATGGAGGGGTGCTGTGGTTGAATGTGCCCTCATGAGTGTGATACGAGAACATCTGGAAAGACCTGCCACTGAATAAACAGATTCAAATACAGTGAGATTATGTCAAACTAGAGCTTTAACATACAGTTTTCTCCTTGTTTGAATTCAAGTAGCATCATGGTTGTAAGAATAATTTTATTTGAGGATCATGCAGTATGTTCTGCACCAGCTTGTTCCAGCTGTTTACAGTGAAATATTTAAAGTGTATTGTGCATTATTATACAAGCATTTTCCAAACTTTTGAATCTCAGCTAGCCTTAAAAATAAAGGTCTTTAGGTTTGAACAATGTTTGCCTGCATAGCATTAGTTTAACGATACACATACAGTGGGTTAAACGCGGATCAAATACTCCATTAGGACAGTACAAACTCAAAAATGTCTGTTTCAGAGTCTCGTTTCAAATCGTAATTGAAGGAAACATCTGTATACTAGTGAATAAGACTGGACGAAGATCAAGACAGAATCAGATTAAACTGTATTCATTCAAGTTATCTTTGCATGCTTTCGGATAAACAAAATACAGTCACTTTTTGTTGACACGAAACACGAAAAGTACCATGTACCCAAACGCTGCACCCATAATGTTAACATATGGTTTAACTAGACAGTGAGTTACTGTCTTACAGCTAATGTTCAACAATAAATCAGAGGTTGAGGTTGATAATTACTATTGCAGAATACAGGACAGAAAAGCATGTGTTTGTTAGTTAGATAATTATTGACACAAACCAACCTGCAACCTTCAGCACGGCGGACGCCATGTTTGTATCTCGGAACCAAAAACAAGCAGCGGAAGAGTTTCCCGGAGAGCCTGTTTACTTGCGACACAGCCAGCCACACATGTGAGGGAAACGATGGCTAGTGGAGAAGTGTGGAGCGTGCTGGAGGAGTGCGTAAAGAAAATAAACGTCAACACAGCACATCCAGAAAACTTTCTGAGGCAAGTGTTTGCTGTCTTTTTGAGTTTTTGTTGTTGAAAACTTGGTGAAATGTCGTCTGCGCATGCTTAAAGAGAAGCGGTTCAGCAAGCTAACCCTTAGCTGAAGCGAGCTAGGTGCGTGAGCCGATAGCTTTAGCAGCATCATGCTTCGTTTAATGGGTAGCAAGCTGTCACAGTCAACTGCTTGTATTTTCTTTAAAGATGGGTAATTCTTATTTATTTGTATTTCAGGGTGGGAGTTTGTATCGGACATTACACAAGGGCTCTCTAGTCTACATTTAAACTTGGTGTCAATGAGGAAAAGGCTGAGCATACAGCGTTAACATAGTTGTGTTTACATCGGTAGAGTAAACAAGTAACAATCTGTACAATACTATTAAAGGCTGCACGTGATATAGTTGGTGGGATTTTGATACATGGTGTATTGATAAGTAGCTGCTGTGGTGCATCAAAATGTTACATGATCAACACAAGAAGGGCGAACTTGAGTCCTAACTTTATTTATTCAATATATACCATATAGATTTAACGGTGTAATGTAGGTTGGGGCTCTTTGATGGCGACTACAAAATGTTTCCCAAGTTAAGATCAATGAAAGATGTCCTAATATAAACTCAAATCTTGTTGGTCTGTATTAATTCAGGGTTCAACCCAGGAAATTAGTAAGCAGAGGTGGCTCTCCACCAAGCTTCTGATGCATCTCGATCAACATAATTAGTAGATTAGTAGAGGTCTAAACAGTCAACATACATTAAACTTATTTGATATATTAAAAAAAGACATTACTCCATTACAACTAACTCTGTACTTCTAATGCCTAACGCTAAAAGTAATTTTTGGTACCATACATACATATATCCTAGTATTTAAGATCGCAAAGCATTGATCTGCACCCAACTTCATGGGTGTCTTTTGGGGGAAAAAAAACAAAACAAAACAGTCCTCTTGCTTTTAATAATACACCAGACATGCCATACTGATTGTGTGTTTTCTACGTTTTCAGCCTTCAAGATGGAGTGGCAGCAGACTTTACCTCTCTCACTAAGACCCTGTATGACCTCCACAAAGCTCAGGAGCCTGCAGATTTTAAAGGAAGCCCGTTGGCTCAGCTGGTGGTGGAAAACTTTGATGAAGAGCAGATCTGGCAGGAGCTGGAGCTGCAGAACAATGCTGTACTGAAACACTTTAAAAATGCTACTGACGAGGCTTTGTCAGATGCAACATTGATGCTGCTGGTAGAGGAGGAGGAGGAAGAGGAGGAGGAAGAAGTAGAGACTGATGGTGAAAGTGTGGATGAGGAAGAAGATGAGGAGCAACCACCAGGACAGTCTAAGAAAATGGCTGCGAAGGCAGAGGATTACACGGATGAGGACTCTGATTTAGACTTTGACGTGGACGCTCTGGAGAAGCGAGAGAAACAGAAGAAGGAGATCGGAAGGAAAGGCTCCAAAACAAAGGTGGTTCCCTCGGAGGTTGATGATAAGTTCTTCAAACTGTCAGAGATGGAGTCGTTTCTTGATGATATGGACAAGCGAGAGGGAAAGGAGGAGGATGAAGATGCCCTAGACTACTTTCAGGACCTGCCCTCTGACGAGGACGATGATCTTGACCTAGAGCAAATACTTTCTACCAAAAAGCAGAAGAAAACCACTGTATGTATTTCACCACTTATTCTCACCTATTTTATTCTGTTTAATTAAATTGTTTATTGTGTCCTAATGGTATATATATTGACAGGAAAAGAGCTCCAGGAATCTCAAGTACAAGGACTTCTTCGACACTGTGGATAGTGAACCAGCTAAAGCAGATGACCAGTCAGATGGCGGAGATGACAGCATGGCTGAAAGCCAGGAAGAAGGTGAAGAAGAAATAGATGACGAGGAAGATGATTATGATGGTGAAGAGGAGGGTGACGATGAGTAAGTGTGATTAAAATTATGTAATCTGTATAATTCTGTGTGGGAGATGCACATTTGGTTGAGTATGTTTGTGTCTACCCTTTGCCAGGGTTGGCGAGAGAAGTCAGTCCAAAGCATCTCATAAGAAAGTGGCCTTTAACCTCTCTGGGGACGAGGACAGTGAAGGGGAGGACATGGCGGACATTTTTGGAGGAAAAACTCCAAGCTCGGCGAAGTCTGAATCAAAGTCGTCATTTGAGAAACGGCAAGAAAAGGTAATGAGGTTTAAAGTAAGCTTAGTTTTACACTAACTGTAGACCACAAATATGTAAATGTAACAGTGCTGTTTATAGGGCTGGGTATTGTTTGAAAAGTTTTGATACGAGTGGCAAAAACATACGAGTTTCAATACAAAAACAATACTTCATCAACAGTATATATACACAATCCCCTTTTATGTTTAACAAAATAAGCCAAACGACTCCAATGTAGCAGTGGTTATTTTTGTCTGCAGCCATTCAAGAACTATAAATAAATGAAATGCAAAACGTATGCATCAAGCAGGAAATGTCTAATCAATGAATACGAGGAAGATGAGTACGAATCTGACCAGGTGTTCGATGCCAAATTTTGTTTTTAAGTGTTCTTAAAGGGCAGTACAAGATGCACATTTCTCTCTGCATGTTTAATCTACTACTGCAGACTGAACGTTAATCTGACGTCCTTCAATTCAGACTTGTGGTGGTGACTTTTACATAACAGTGACCAGCCCGCTTATTCAGACAGGTGACTGACTTGTGAAATTGCCAACTTAACTTAAAGGTGTGCATGTCTGAAATGGTCTTGAGAATCCTTTAAATCCACAAATCTGTTACTTCCTTGCTTGTGTTTTCTGCCAATAGTGATTATGATTATACCCTATTATTGTTTTAACCTACAGATGACAGAGAAGATCAAGGAGCTGGAGAGCGCCGCTCTAGGAGAGAAGCCCTGGCAGTTGTCAGGAGAGGTGACGGCACAGACTCGTCCTGAGAACAGCATGCTGGAGGAAGATGTGGAGTTTGAGCAAACATCCAGGTTTGGTGAGTGACTCCAGCGTTTATGTTGTTTGATTAAGGTTACTATTAAAATGGCGATTATTTCTCTCTGTGTGCTGTTTCAAATCATACAACAACATTTTTTCTTTTCTGTTTTAGCCCCTGCTATCACGGAGGAAACCACATTACAGATCGAAGACATCATCAAACAGAGAATTAAAGACCAGGTTAGTCAGAATAACTTTTTAATAACATAATATACTTTTTATATTTGGTGTTTTTTTTGTTTTTGTGTTGCCTGATTATAACCCTGTTGCTTTGACTTGTGTTTTCGTAAGGCATTCGATGATGTGGTCCGCAAAGAAAAACCTAAAGAGGAGGTGTTTGAGTACAAGAAGAGGCTAACATTGGACCATGAGAAGAGCAAGCAGAGTCTAGCAGAAATCTATGAGCAAGAATACCTCAAGCAGAATCAGGTTCGACTTTTATCTTGCTTTCTCTGTTACTCCAACACACAGGAACCTGCGCTACATCTATTCTTTTTTTATTTTTTTCTCATTTCAGCAAAAAACAGAGGAGGAGAACCCTTCCCATGTAGAAATTCAAAAGCTTATGGACACACTCTTCCTGAAGTTAGATGCTCTCTCCAACTTCCACTTCACACCTAAACCTGTAAGTATTGCTTCACAGCACTGAATGAAAGTCACATAATATGCCAAAAATACTGAGATTGATTGTCCTATTAGAAAGATTCAGAAATATGTAGAAGTTACCATATTAGCACTCACCAAAATCACAGGCTTATTTTTACCCTGGATCTAACTCTGGTTAGGGACATCTTCAATTTAATGTGATTCTTGCAATAAAAAGATTTTAAAAACTAATAATATGTAAAACATAACAGGCCAAAATAGAATTGCAATGAACTGATGTTCATGTTTCCCATTGTCTACAGCCTGTTCCTGAGGTCAAAGTGGTGTCTAACCTGCCATCCATTGCAATGGAGGAGGTGGCTCCAGTCAGTGCTAGTGATGGTACGCTGCTCGCACCAGAAGAAATCAAGGTTTGTTATAAATCTGTTTTTAAACATCTATTTTGATCTTGGTATATTTAGTTACACAGCATGTCTAATAATACTCTCCTCCAACGAAAGGAAAAGAACAAAGCAGGAGATATTCTGGGTGATACTGAGAAGACGTCAACAGACAAGAAGCGTGAGAGACGTCACAAGAAGACGGTGAAGCGTCTAAAGATCAAGGAGAAAGAACAGAGACAGAAACTTAAAGAGGCCAGTACAACTGGGGAGACCAAAAAGCTATCAAAGGCTGAAGTCACAGAAAACCTGAAGAAACTCACAAAAGGAGGCAAAGCCACGATACTCAAGGTGAGTGTTTTTTCTTATGTTCCTTTTTTCATTGCTCAGATCTGTATGCATTCAGTGCCGGTGTTTGTCTCAAAGCAGGAAATCAACACATTTACATTTATACATTACATTTACTGTAATTATATTATTATAATTGTCAATATTTATTCATTATTATTATTATTATTATTATTATTATTTGATTATTTTATTTGTTTTACATTATTCAGTATGTTATTTCATTGAGCAATTCAGAGAAAATATTGTACTTTTTACTATTTATCATATTTATTTGACAGTGACAGTCAGAAGTTACTTCGGTGATAAAAGTACACACCAGGCTTCATGAACACTATAAAATATGATGCATTGTCACATATAAAGCTACACAAATGTATATAAAGATTTTTACATTAAGATTTTGTTTACATATTAAAGCAGCATTTTGCTGCATAAGAAGTACTTCATATACATTTAGTTAACAATACTTCAGTATTTGAATGCAGGACTCAGTACTTTTTACATTGAGGTATTGGTACTTAAGGGTTTCTGTACTTCTTCCACCACTGACTGAATCAATAAAATGTGTAGATAAATAGTTAGAGCAGTCAGTTGAACCGCTGCTGCATATTGCCATCACAAATTATCTAGTTTAAGTCGTCGAACTGATTGTGCTGTCTATGCTTCCACTACCACCATATCACACTTTTGTAATGCCAAAATAAACATTACATTAATTGTTAGATAATATTGTGTATGTTCCCAAGGAGACTGTACTAACATGGTGTTCCTCTATTTCAGGACGAAGGAAAGGATAAGGCTCTGAAGTCCTCTCAAGCCTTCTTCTCTCAGCTGCAGGACCAGGTCAAAAGTCAGATCAAAAGTACAAAGGACCAGTCTTCAAAGAAGAAGAAAAACAAAGAAGTTTCTGTCAGCAAACTCAAGTTATAGAAACTGGGTGTTTGTTGTGGAAGATCAACGTTTTATTGTACAGATTCTTTTTAATGAGAAAGCTGCAATATATTGCAATCTAAAAGTCCTTGTTAAATGTTTCCATTTTCATTAAAATAAATCAAGTGCCCAGATTTGTTTGTGTCTGTTTCACTATATGTAGAGTAGTAGTAATAATAATAATAATGCATTTTCATTCACATGAAAATATAAAAGCACTCTCTTTTGTGTAAACATAATTTTACAGTGCCTGTCTGAAGACCCATAGTTGTTCATAACACCAGTGGAAATAAATAAGAATACACTACACAACAAAACACTAGGTACTCATACATGTTTTTATTTGTTGTCTGTGTGCGCACAATTGGAGAAAACGTCAAGAAGTCATCAGAAACGTCTGACTGTAACAATCTAGGTGAGCGTATGCATTAGGCTGCTAAACTCCAGCTCTTTAATGTTGTATCTAGTGGAGGTAAACCTAATTTTGTACTGTAGGGTAGTTAACTCACGTTTTAGAGGCTGGTAATATATTGTATGGAAAAACTTTTTATCTGCCAAATAACCAGCAACTGGCTGTCAAATAAACATAGCTGATTAAAAATAGTTGTGTTTTTTTAATGTGTAGATGTATCAAGTAGCATAAAATGGAAACCATACCTGAGAGCAGTACTTGAGTAAATTACTTCCTTAGCTTGTGCAATGTTTTGCCTGTAGTTTAGTACATGTAAGTACATTTGAAATACAGAAACATTTAAGGTAATAAGTAGAACTACTTAAAGAAGTCTACCTACCTATAGTATATCAGTACGGTGAGCTATTTTGAGTCACACCTGTGGTTGACTCCTGTTTGACTCAATTCAATTAATTCAAATGGCTTTATTGGCATGACGTAACACTGTATATATTGCCAAAGCAAGTGTTTGGAATTAAAAATAACAATAAAGGAAAACAACATTTACAACAAATTAATTATAATCTAGTTGGTAATACTGTAACTGATTGACACAATCACAGTTACAATCAATCAATCTCAGTCAATTAGTAATTAATTACAATCAATTAAAACAGTAGTAAAGTAACAGACTACAGTTAAAACAAGTAGTCTGTTGTCAATATAACAGTAATAACAAATTATTAATTATAATATATATAATATTAAAATATATTAAAATTAAATAGATAGATAAAACTGTAAATTGTGTGTGTGTGTGTGTGTGTGTGTGTGTGTGTGTGTGTGTGTATTAAAAAACAACAACAACCAAAACAATCAATTATTTTATACATTTATCTGAGTTTCCACTGGTCGTCCTCAGTTCGTGGCATGAGGAGACATATTTTGCTGCAATAATTTGACTTTTTGGCATTTCTCCCAGTAAATACGGGGAGTTTCTGTGTGTCGCATAATAATTTGAAGTCGGGGTATATTTGGGAAATGTTTGCGAATTGTTTTTCTCTTAAAGTTTTGAATTTAGGGCATGAGATTATTGAGATTAGAAAGTGCAGCTGTGTAAAGTGTGTTGACTCTCTGGCCCCGCCCCCTGACATACAATCCCCATTACGTCACTGAAGATCATTACGGAAGTGAACCGGGCGACGACACGGACAGAAACCCCCAAATAAGTTGGCGTGTACGCTTGACCAAATACCGACAGGTGAGTTTCTGACGCTTTATTATTTATATATTCTCCAGACTACTTTGTTGTGTGTGAGCAGTTTGTTTCTGCTGGCGTTTAAACGAGAGCTAGGTAAGTTAGCTAACGTTAGCGTAGACCACGACTGCCAACAAAACAAAGGCTAGCTAACAGGTTTGACGACGCGGACACGGGTTCTGGGTTATTAATGTTTGTATAATGGTATATTTGTGTAAATAGGTGACAAAACGGAGGAAAAAGAAATAGAGAAAGTGGTAATGTTTAAAGTAGCACAGCCGCGTTAGCTGTCCGTCGCGTCAGGCTAAAGCTAACGTAACTGTTTGAGCTCTTTAAACCTTTAATATTAACCTGTGTTAGTTTTGTCTAACAAGCTGACCTAATGTTTTGTTGTTGTATTTGTTTGGAGTAAATCTGCGGAGTCATTCTGTTGCGATGGGTTGGTCACGCTCACATGATGAAGTGAGTCACTGGATCAGAGGTGGGGTCGAGGTTAGATGTGCTCCAGGTTGGTTTCGGTTGTGTGTTATGCTTCTGTGTGGGTTTTAACTCTTCTCATGCTCTCCTGCTCACAGATAGTCTATCATCATGCTGGGAGGAGGATTCAAAGCAGAGAGGCTAAGAGTCAACCTCCGGCTGGTCATCAACCGACTCAAACTCCTCGAGAAAAAGAAAAGTAAGTCCTGGGCTGACTTTTAAACCTGGTCCTCTTTTCCTACAGTCGATATGGATTCAGTGGGTTCATTTTCTGTTCTTATCAATAATGACAAGTTTACCTTTTTTCGCTCTCCCTTTCACAAATTTAAATGAAGCTGAGCTTGCTCAAAAGGCGAGGAAAGAGATAGCAGATTACCTGTCATCGGGAAAGGATGAGCGGGCACGGATCCGCGTGGAGCACATTATCAGGGAAGACTATTTGGTGGAGGCCATGGAGATCCTGGAGCTTTACTGTGACCTGCTGCTGACTCGCTTTGGCCTCATCCAGTCCATGAAGTGAGTAACTTAGCCAACAACATGCACCAAAATCACTTTTTTCACTTTGTTATTAAATGTCTCTGTGGCCGTCATTGTGGTCTTTCTTATTAACCCCTTTTCTGTTTTTCCTATTAGGGAACTGGACCCAGGCTTACAGGAGGCAGTGTCGACTCTTATCTGGGCAGCGCCTCGTCTCCAGTCAGAGGTGTCTGAACTTAAAACTGTAAGTACTGTCTAACAACAGCATTGAATAAGTTCGGTCTTAGGCCACAGGTTCACAGTCTTATCTCTAAATGTTTCTTTCAGGTATCAGACCAGCTGTGTGCAAAATATAGCAAGGAGTACGGCAAGCTGTGCAGGACAAACCAGATTGGCACAGTCAACGACAGGGTAGGCAATTCTTTCCACTGACTGCTTACGAGTCTGTTCAAGAATGCGTGAACCTTTAGCCTTGCAACTTCTCAGCAGCATCTAATCATATATCTGATGTGTTCACAGCTGATGCACAAACTGAGTGTGGAGGCACCTCCCAAGATCTTGGTGGAACGCTACCTGATAGAGATCGCCAAGAACTATAATGTGCCGTATGAACCTGACGCCATGGTCCGGGTGAGCATTATATAATCAGTTATCACTCACAGTGAAGGATGATGTCATGCTTTGTGTTTGTTTTAGGGCTGCGAGTAACGATTATTTTCCTCATGGATTAATCTGTCAATGATCACTGTTTGCTGTGACATCCTCAAATGTCTTTTTTTGTCCAATACCCAAAGAAACAGTTCGCAGTCATAGAGGACTAAAGAAACAGGAAAGGAAGCTACATTTGGAAATCTTTTCCTTAAAAAAAAAAAAGTCAATTACCCCTTGATCAAAATAATTAGCGTTAAATTTAGGAGTTCACTAATCGACTGATAATTGCAGCTCTAATTTATTCACCCACTCTTGTCTCTGGACAGCCTGAGGTGTGTTGCGGAGAGGAAGCAGACCTGATTGACGTGGACACTGACAAGAAGCCTAGAGGAGGTGGAGGAGGTGGCGGTGGAGGTTTCACTGCTCCTGCTGCTCCTATGCCTATGGGAATGCCTATGCCCATGCCTATGCCAACAGCTTTCAACTATCCACCTCCCAACATGGCCGTAAGAGTTTCCCCTTTACAGACCCCATTCTTTATTATTTTGTTCTGAATTATATAACCTGGATAATGATTAAATCTTGAAACAGAGCTGAAATAAACAGTACTTTGGTGATTGAAAACATGTTTATAATGAGGGCTGCACAATTAATCAGAATATTATTGAAATTGAAATATGGCCAAGTGCATTATCCAAATTGTGGAAGCTATTTCATTCTAAAATCTGATTTATTTTACTTACTTTGAGTGGCTTTAAAGAGATGAGAATATTTACTGACTTGTGCCTGACTGATGTTTTTATCTTCAGGACCAGTTTCATGTTCCCGTTGGAACCTACAACAACTTCCAGCACCCCATGGGAGGAGGGCATCCCCCTCAGTTGCCCACTTCTCCCCCGACATATGAGTCTGTAAGTGACCGCCCCCCTCCCAACCATGCCCCCTTCCTGTTCCCACAGATGGACAGACGGACAGGGCAGGGCACCACTCAGGGAAGAGCAGTTCATTAAACTTGCTTGCAGTTTTGCCCTTTCCTCTACTTTTTTTTTTACACTTTTACTCAGAGAAGGCCCAGATTCTGCTTCATCCGCATTGATATCACAAAAAGTTCTAACACCGTAACCACTAACTTTGACCCGATCAGTTGCTCTGAGTGGGATTCAAATGAACAGAAAGTGAATTTTGTTTGTTTTTACTTCTGCACCATTGAGTGCATGTTATTAATTATTTCTAAATACTAACATATAATATTTTGATTTCAATGTGAAGATTTGAAGACATGATCCTTTACACATTTTCTCTGGGTTTCAGATTGATGACCTAACTTCAAACAAACCTTCTGTTCCTTCGCAGGCCGTAGGTGAGTTCTGCCAACAAGAGTTAAAGTTGTTCTATATTTTTTGTCAACAAATCCAATTAAAAGACCAAAACCAACAGTGTGTTAGTTGTCTTCTAACACATTTCAACTACCTCACCATGTCTGTGGTACTCAACACCAATCTCATTCATTCCATCTCAAGATTGAAGTCTTTAAAAACGGTCACAGATGTATAGTTTTATTTTTAACTGTTAAATAATTTCCTAAAACAGGTGGGTACTGTAGTTTTTGGCAAATGTAGCAGAAAAGAGTAAATGGTGTATTTGTTGGGAACTATATTCAGCAGCAGTCACCCAGTGCAACAGTGTGGCTCACAGATGTTTTTAAGAAAATAGTTTTCGGACAAAAATGGAGCTCTGTGGCACAGAGTAATAAGCTATGAGGCCTTGGCATCACAGGTGATACTTTAGATTAATTCATTGTTATGTAGTTCTGCTTTCTGACTTTCCATTATGTGCTGTTTACATTTTCATAATCACAAAGAAAGCCGTTTTCCCCACTGCTTGTTGGAAACTCACCACTGTTTTTTGCTTTTGTATAAACTACCAGATATACTGCTGCATAAATTATACTTCATGCCATATATTCCTCTCCAGCTCCTGGCCCTTCATCAAAGCTGTTTGACAACAACGCTCTACCAGAACTGCCCTCCGTTCCCGACACACTCCCTGCATCGTCTTTTGGCGGAAACACCACCACCTCAGATGACATCGACTTTGACGATTTGACGCGGCGGTTTGAGGAGCTGAAGAAGAAGACCTAATTGCTATATCCCTGGTCTATACACACATGCACACACATACACAGGCCCCTGTTGTCACCTACGCAGCTCAGAACAACAAAAGGAAAATGTTCAAGGCTCTCAATCAGATTGTAATAGTTCTCCTTCCTCTTCCACGGTGAAGTAATCTTACATACATTAAACATACATGTATTCTTACCTCATTTATATAAATATATGACCAGCGTACTGAGGTGAGATGTGGTTTCTCACTCGACCTTATCATTTAGCAGAAATCTAATTTCTGTTTGCAGTACCATTGAATACCACATTTTAATTTTTCTATACTGCACATTATATATATATATATGTATAAAATGTTGGTGTTGACACATGTTCACTCCTGCTCATTTAAGGTCACACTGACTTTTAACTTTTCCCCTTTGTCTGAGTGACACTTACTTAGATTTTAATTGTTGCTTTTCCTGGGCTTTTGGGTCTGACAGATCTTTACAGTACATGCCTTGATTCTACTTTGTACATGCTGTGTCGCTGTGATCTTTGCCACTGTGTCACTCAGTGCTATCTCAAACCAGTCAAACAAGTGCAACTGGCCGCCCCACTTTGGTGGATAGTTGGCATTCATACTAACAATGGCTACAGATTGTTTCCTAGGCGAGGCTCCAATACCCAAGTTTTTTTTTTTTTTTACATAAAGTTATTTCGGAACAGATAGAAGCCATATTTTCAGTGTCTTGCACAGTCAGTTTTGTCACTGTGGAGAGGAGATTTTGAAACACACTTCAAGGTTAATTTATACCAGGAAAAAAAAGGGTGTACAAGTCCTCCAGGAAAAGCTCATGGTGACACATGTTACAGGGGCACAGATGTATGTAAAGTTATAAAACAGTGTATCAAAAATCTGTAATATAATACATTTACAATCATATAGATAGACCTATTTACACGAATGATTGAACTGTACAGCATAAAGAGTTCGGTAGTAGGGAGTTGACAGATCTGTTTTATATACAGTATCCAAATAATTTTTTTTCCCCCCTTTTGAATGTCAGTTTTACCAGATACCTGCACTTTCTTATCATAGAAGAACTTAATTTACAAGTAAAATGTGTGCAGACAAAAACAGGCGCACAACAACCTTATTTGATTAGATGTAAATATTGGACCCAGAGGTTTGTGTTGTCCTCTGTGATTGTGTGTGCATGTGTCTTATACTGTATGCGTACCACTGCATTTGCCTTAGTTACCATCTCTCATCAGAGGCCTTGCCAGTCTACAGTAGGATTAGGTTACACTTTGCTTTATTTGCTGTACCCATAAAACAATTCTCTAAATACCTTTTTACAGTGGCAATTTGCGTAACAGATGGAAAAAACTGTCGGTACTGGCAATATAGGTGGATGTTTTCCTGTAGCAAGATCAGAGTGAGAGGGTTTCTGTTGCTGCAACCTAACCACACCCAGCTCTGCTTGCATGGCAAATGGATGGTGGCCTTGAATAAAATGATTCATCAGTCTCTAGAAAGCTCATTGAAAAGCTTTCCAGCTACACAATAGACAGTTTAATTAATAGGTTTTACACATGTTGGAGAAGGTAGAGAGAGATTATTAACACTACTGAACTGTGATCTGCTCACTGTCTTTTCTATGTTGGACTGTTCTTTCATGCTAAACCTTGAGACACAAAATGGTGTCTTGTTGCAAAAAAGGAGTTTTTTTTCCACTGTATACTAAACAATTTAATAAAAGATTATTTGGAACTGGAAACTGGTTTGTACACTATTTGTGTGTGTTCACAACACAATGCTGTTTCAAATTGTACCCAGCAGGGGTCCTCAGTGTAAAGCTAAAGAATTATCCCTAGCAGTGGTTTACAATAAACTTTATTTACAGATGCAGTGTAATGTGTATTGTCGAGGTTTACATTTTTTGTCTTTCAGATCAGTGTACTCTGTTTAGCTTCTTCATGGATCCTAATAGTTCTGTCTTGACTGTCCTGCATCATACGGAGATACATTTTACCTGCTTCTAAATGCATTAAGATAAATGGCAATTTCTTTGACAGGGCACAATCGAGGGCAGCTAGCAACCATTTGCATTCAGGCCATTAACTTCCATGCTTTTAGAGATAATCAGAAATGGCTTGAAAGGAGAGTCCATTGAGTAACACAAAATGTGGCAGATGAGCCATTTGAAAAGGAGAATCTTAGAAAACATCCATTAGCAAAATCAGCTGAAGAGTGAGACTGAAAACTGGGAGTCATTTTTGTAGAAATTGTATTCTTTGTGGACTTATAAGTGTCACCTGAAAATAAGAACCGTTGTGTTTTTTGTTAGAATGAGCTGTTTGAAGGCAGCGGATCCTCTCTCACAGAGGCCATGTTCCTAGGCCTGAACGCACAACCAAATACTGTCTCTCGATGGGGCCTCTTTTTTTTTTTTTTGGGTAGTTTTTGCTGCGTGCTTGTAAGGCTGAGCTGTATTCAAATGGTTGCAGCTTCACCTCTAGATGCCACTGAATCCTACACACTGGTCCTCTTAGGTCTTAAAGTCGGTATTAAAAGGAGAAGGACATTTTAAGCTAGGTCAACCATTCTTTAGCCTCACTTTGTTGAATAAACAAATCATATTTTCTTACATGACATGCATTTAATGGCAGACATATTCGTCCTAATTGGCTTACATAAAGTGCATTAAAGAATGCAGGAACAAGAGCTAGATGTTATCAAAACTGTTAAATATGAAGTATTTGGGTTGAAGTTTTTAACAGTAATTTAAGCCTGTGTTATGTCACAGTGATACTGCTGGCTAGTATGTCTGTATCAAGGCCAAGCAGCACAAAGGCATTTTTGGAGCTGTTGGTCACGCCATATTGCTGTGTAGTTTCTCCAGGCCTGCTATAAAACCTTAGTGTACACAGAAGTATTGACGACATCACCTCCTTTTTTCTGTGAATCCGCCATTTACTGTGGCATGAATGTGGGTCAAGCTATTTTGCTGTAGTGCTGTGAATAAAACGAGGGCTGCTGGACAAAGCTGGTATAACTGAGTTTCTTTCTCATACTTTCAAAGGTTATTACTCTGACAGAACTCATTCTGCAAAGGAAATAATCACAAGTTTTGTTGTAGTGGTTTCTGGTGTCATTTTCTGAGGACTGATCAGTATAGGCGATGTAAGCCTCGCTTGGATTGGCCAGACAGTCAGTAAAGAAGGTCAAATTGTGCTTTTTCAGATTCTAAATCAGTTGCAGTTGCAATTTGCCATTGTATATTAAATGCAATTACTAGAATATGAATCCAATGGATCTGCTCTACAAGGACTAATGTAAAAATAAACTAAATATCCACTTGCAAACACATCATTTTAGATTAAAATACCTGCACAAACATGTCTATTGAGCATCTAAAAGCTTATTAGTTTAAAAGGAGTTTACAACCACTGATGCTAAAGCTCAGTTTATCCGAAAAGTTGTATTATTTAATATTGTATAATAATAGTGATGACTGTGAGGCACAAAACGGTGCTGTCAGCTACTGTATGTCTGTAGCTCTATCAATTAAAAGGCACTAATAGATATTAAAGACATGAAGATTTTAATAGAGATTACTTTATTCAAGCTCACACATACATACAGAATCAATAAATCAAAACAATAAATAAATTATTAGTCATCGTTGATTAAATAAGCACACAAAGCCTAAGACAAGACATTAATGTGTCTTCAGACCTGCTTGTATCCCCAAACCAAAAGCACAAACTTGAATGTAGTAACATCTGCTATATAAATCATTCAAAGGGCAGGACAGACTGAAGTACATAGAAGTAGGCATGTATGATGAAAATGTATGACATGCACCTTCAGCTTGTATTACATTGAAGGAGGTGAAATGAAAAAAGTGATCAATTAATAATTAGCTACCATATGTGAAATTACATAAAATCACCTTCCCGTGCCTCTAAAAGTAAAAGTCCATGTTGGTGTGTAATCAATGGTTGGTCATACACTGAGATGACAAGTCATGTTGACAGCAGTAGCTGGCTGTTGGGAGTCTTTGGATGTTGACCATATTGACATTTTCAGTGTTACTAATAACAAATAAGCAATGAATATGGTTATTTTCAGGCTAAAGCAAGAAGGATTCAGTATTTTGCCTTTTTGGTGGGGCACTAAAATGCTCCACTAAAATTAAAATTAGCTTGGTAAGTTTTTGGTAAATTTGGATAAAATGAACAAAATAAATACACATTTTCTTTACAAATTGTACAGACTTTTTAGTCTATCTGCACAGGCATTCAATAATTCTAGCAGGGCTTCTATTACATTACTTGATTATGTTTCTTGGATTAAAGACATTTTTTCACTCTCCAACTAACTCAAAGAGCTCATGATAGGTAGCTCCTGATGACATCTAAATCTGCTTCAGTGATTCTTGAAGCTGTAAATGAATCCTACAGATTTTGTATATTGACATGAAATTAACAACATATCCACGAATGATCAAAAGCTTTTCAATACAAGCAACCAGATAATTTATTTCTATTCACATACATTATAATGGAAAGTAAATGCCTTGAAGAAAAGCAACACTTTGACATGCAAGATCAATTGTTATTTAATTACAGATTTACTCTGACTCTGACTAACCATTTCAGAAAGGTTTCCCCAGCATTGGAAATTCTGCACACATACAAAACACCAGAATGTGTGATGCAATTTTCATGTTCAGAAAGTAAAACTTCCAATAAGTGCAAAAGAGTGTTTAAGAAGCGAAGGTTGCTGTGGATTGCAGCTGTGCCCGTCACAGATGACAGCTTATCCTGTTAAATGCAGCTTCCTCACATTGTGTCCCTGCCAGAGTACCGTCTACACTTGTCTTGTTGCTCTGTTAAATGGAGAAGACAGTGCAGTAAGACTCACAGTACTTTACTGCTCTTTAACTGAAGAAAGGATGCACTGATACACTTAAGAGAGAGAGAGGTCACTTGGGAGGAGTCAAAAAACTAAAAGGGTCAGTAGTTTATAGTTGTCAAAGCAAATATTTTAACTGTTTCATATGCATCATTACATAGGAGCTCTCTGCAGTCAACCTGAAACAAAATGGAATGGATACCTCTGTTTTATGAATTATGAATACGTAGTTTGGACTAAACAATTTATGTGATAAATTAAATTTAGAGGCTGTTTTTGCAAATCTGGCAATCCAACATCTCAGGCTTAACCTAAAAGACTAAAATGTTTTTGCATGTTTGAACAATTTCAGTTATTACGGATATTATATTCAATTTATAAAAGTTTATTTTAAGTTTTTCCCCTTATGGTCACAGTTTTGGACAAGGTCTTTAAACCAGCATTAACTGATTTATTGGCCACTTAGGGGCACCAGAAACAAGCTCTGAACTGATTTGGCAGTTAGCAAACAATTGCTTATTTACACATCCGGTAAACATGTTTCTGGCCACCAAGTCCAATATTCACTCTTTTAGCTCCTTTTTTCGTCTCCACGAACTCCTGAAGGAAATATCTGTCTCTTTAGCTGCTAAATGCTCCACTATGTTCACCAGGTAGTTGTCAGCTCTGCATTAGTAATAGGAAAGGTAGTAAACAACAGCTTTTTTGCTTAAAACAGCTGCCTGCTACATCTAAAAACGTCTCTATGAGTGTGATGAGAGTGAATCAAAACAATAAAAGAGTCGGGCTGTAAAACCTGTAACACTGTAATGCTGTTTAGTGCTGAGGGGAACTGCAGAGTCAGTTGATAATTCTCAGTAGGCTCGGCACTACGAGTGACACACTTTTGACCAATTGTTAATATAGAAAAATGATTATACAAGCAAATTAATGTATGTATTATTGTACATAGAAACAGACATGAAATATTTTGAACACAGTACTTACTTTTGTACACCCACCACCTGTTCTGGTAACAGGTGGGCTGCGTAATGTTTTTCTTACCTAACAGCACTTGCTCAACTTCTTCACTCTCCTCCACAGCTACAGGTTTCAGCAGCAGGGCAAAAACCACAGCAACGCCTATCACCTGTGAACAAAAACAGGCCAGAGGAAATCTGATAAATATAAAAAAACTATCTTGAATGTTTAAAGGTTATTATTCCATAACTAGTGTGAACTATTGTAGAAAAAAATACTTAGAGTAAATGCAGAATTTAAATCAATAATTTGATACTGTTTAAGTTTTCTCATCTTTACCCACCTTGAGAGGCTGCAGTATAAAGATGCTCTGGAAGAGGGAGAGGCCCAGAGACATAACCCACTTGATGGACTTTTCTTTGCCATACTCAAAGCCGTACAACAGGGTGAAGAAAGTGGATATTCCACTGATGGACAGCAACAGGAACCAGCCCAGGAACACACACCACCACGGCAGCCAGCAGCTCGCCGACTTCTTCTTCTTCTTCACGGGACGTGGGCTGCGCCAAGAAGAGGGAAGGAGGAATGACATATGAGATGTTCCAGTCAAATAAAACCAGAGGTGTTTCTACTATACACAGTGTTTTGGTCGGAGTGCTGACCAGTAGACCAAGTGGCAGGAGAGGACCATCTCAGCCTTGCGAACCAGCAGGTTGGTGATGTTGAGGGTCTGCTGGTACTCGTGTGGACTCTGGAAGTTCTTTGCATCCAGTTTCTCGAGGCACATCATGAGGTGACAGAGACCAGCTAGGAGGAACTTGCTGCAGTACACCCAGTGGGGGTCGCTCTCACTCTCCCCTTTGACAGAATTACATACAGACTAGCAAATCATCATCAACCATCACATTTCTCTAAAAGCAAGACAAGCTGGGGAAGTTTTGAAAGATAAAAATAAACACTATCTGCAGCCTTATCCATTGAACCTCAGGATACATCTGTGCCCTAATAGCACACTGTCATGCTTTTTGTATCATTGTCTTATTCATCCACTAGCCCTTTTGTATTTTTTGTTTCTGTATAGTTGTGTTATAATCTTTTTACCTTAAGTGCAGTGCAGACAGTACAAAAACAATGTTTCTTCTTTTATCAAAGCTAACTGCCAGTTATCAATACTTATTTTAAAAAACTAAAATACTACCTTGCATAAACTGGATGAATTCATGGACCCTGTCCAAGGCAGGGCCGAGGTCAGTGGTGGACTCCAGCCTGGGCATCTCTGACATCTTGTTCCTTGGACTTCTGCTCACCAATGAAATCACCTCCGCTGTATCCTAGGAGGGATGCACACCAAATACCAAATGCTGTATGTATACTATAAATGTATAGTATACATGATCTGATCAAATGCATATAAATACACACAGTACATATTATACAGTAAAAGGTCAGCAGAAGTCAAAGCCACACAACACTTACAGTAACTGCAACATAAACTGAATGGAAAACACGAGCTTACACGGTCATTGATGAGGCAAGTATGATGCACAAAACACAGCCAAAGAAAAAAGTGCTGGACACACTCTCCCACACATCCAAATAAGATCATGCACAACACACCTTTAGTATACTTGGTACGGTAACTGCAGGAGGTCTCAAGTTCTCCTCAAAGTCTTTTTTAGACTTTGAAATTATGCGAGGTCTGATGCTTCGGAAGATGGTGATGATGAGGATGTTGATTGGAAACATGAGAAGACCACTCTCTACTCCCACCATGATCTCCTGCCAGGTGATCTGCAATGAACCTGGAGAGAAAAAAACAAGAACATAGTGTGAGTGATGAGAAGTATCTGATATCAGGCCCATTCAGGATCATCCAATACCAGAAAATCACAACAGGGATTTTATGGCTCTTCTAAACCTCTGATGAACTGTATTCTACCTGCCCAGCAACTGCTTGTTAAGAGGCAACTGAAAAGGTGGCGATATGTTATTGTGTTTACACCTTGTTTCCACTTCCCCCAAGTGGCCAAAAATCACTTAATGCAGGTTTTACATGAAAACATTAGAAGCTAAATTTAGACGTTAAGAGCTATAGATCTAGACATGCCAATGAGTCTCATTTACAGGCAGGAAAAGTATCTACTTCTGCAATGTTGACACTTGCAGGCAATGAGTTTCACAACTGCTGTTTTTTTCTAGCTCTAATTTGTGTGTGTCGTGCAATCTTTCATCATTTGGTAAAATGTACCAAGTTTTGTTAAGTGGAGTGCTCTGTGTGTGATTGTACGTCCTCTGTCCTCTTGCTTACGTTTGGGAGGAAAAGGGTCCTGATCAGATGTTGTTTGTCCATAGGAAAAAAGTCTAATGCCAGGTTTATATATTTTTGGGAAATAAAATAAATAATTATTTCATAAATTCTGTTCATTTACTATTGTAAAAGCACATGCTTCTCATTCCCCAAAAACCATACAATTTATCCACAGGAATGTGAATAATTCTAGTTTCTGGTAACATGCAACCACACACATGCGCACTGTATAAAAAAATTATAAAAAACGACATTAGTAATGCTATTTGTATGCTTTTCCAACCACCTGCGACCTCAGAGAGGCAACACACAGGTCAAAAGGTGACTCTATTCTCTGACTGTGTTGCCACCTCCATAGTTGCACATGTGGAAGCAGAGGTGTTGAAGATAATACGATATTTCAAGAGACGACAGACAGCCAATTAACTTGTTTCTCAGATTATTGCTTCTGCGCTTGTGCATATTGACTTCAACCTTTTGACCTTTCATCCAAACCTCGAAATCTGAGGAAAACCTCTCATTATTTTACATTTTAGATATTCATTAGTTATTTATGATCAATACTCTTACTCCTTCTTACAAAACTGTGGGTTTGTTTTGCAAGTGACCTTATATTGTATATACCAAACCCATGAGTTCTTAAATGAAAAATAGGCATCTTTTTCTTTTAGATGCCTATAACACAGATATTATAAACCCACAACAACAATGACTCCATTAATATAAAGTATAGTTTTCTCTTTGGAATAAATCTTTGCTCTTCAGGTCATAAAGCTATAATAATTAAATATTTCATAATTCACCGAGGGAGAAGAGTACGGGGGAGTCCTCATCTACAGGAATGTTCCAGAAGGCAATATTGATGGCCATGGTGCAGAGGAGCAGGCTCATGCAGCAAGAGACCCGTTGGGCACGTGTGAATGGACTACGTGAGGGAGGATCCACTATGGACACCCAAATGTGTTCATCCCTAAAGCCTGTCGAAGTTCTGCTCTGGAAAATATTCCTGACCAGAGAAAAACAGAAATCCAAAACGACACTTGTCAATTAACATGACTTTCTCGAGATGGCTTATTCCAGCAGTGTAAAGTGGTCCGACTCTGACCTGAAGCTGGCAATCTCGTTGTTCTTTGCAGCATTGAAAGTCTTCTTGGTCATGCCGTCTCCATGGTCAGCACTCAGCCAGCAGCCACAAAAGTAGTGCCAAACCTGTCGTGTTTGGAGGTCTTGTACGGTCACCTTGTTTATATACCTGTTTTTAAGAGGAATTCATAAAACAACAAACATTATACATTTACCATAATGGTTTATTTAATAAAAGTTTTATGCAAGTAATTAAAATGTTAGATGTAAATGTAAAATGTAGTATGAGCAAAATGTTAATATTTTTCATATAATGAGTATGTGTGCATGTGTACAGTATTCTCAAAGTGGTATTTAATGAGAGTGATAACAAGGTAGTGCTAAATGATGAGGCAGGCCTGACATTTCAAAGTGTCACTGTGAAGAAGCCTATCCTGCAGAGAGGTGACAAATGCTACCTGTACACAGCTCTAACAACCATGTTTACAGGTTGACACCCACCAATTATCCACAAGTTCTGCTGAATCAATCCAAGCATAAAAAACACACTGCTATTTAAGTATCACTTCAAGGTGCAACCTAAAAATGACACAAATCTGCAAGTAAACTACTTTTATACTGGGTTCAAAACACATTTTCATTTTCAGATATCTGCCATAGACAAATTTGGGAAACTGATTAATTGCTGCTGAAATATGTCCTGTCTAAGCATTCAGTACCATGATGGATGACCTCCAGAGTTGTCGTGCTGCAACCTGACGTTTCGTACTTCACCCAGTGGGAAGGGTGTGGACAACAGGAACATATCGAATGCCCCTCTTTCAAACACAGGCTTGTCAGGATCTGTGAGATTTTGTGTGTCACTCTCTCCCTCTGAGCCAGTCAACTTCACTGTCACCTACAGGACAGAAACAACATGCTGAGCATTGGGTTCACACATCAGTGTCCCGAACCAAGATTTATAAAAGACTACACTAGTGTTTGTCCATAGTTCAACCCATTTAATACAACTTGTGTATCATCTTGACTTATAAATGAATGATAAACCATAGGTTGATCTGTGCATTTCTCACACTTTCTAGGCTGGTTTTCATTCATTTTAGTACCTTTTAGTTTTATCTCATAGTTACAACATTGTTTGATAATACAGTTGCGGAATGCATGTAATATTAAGAATACTCTTTAAAGTTATAATTGCTCATATTTTCATTAAATCAAACCTAATTTTTGTTATTATCTATGATTGACATTTTTTCAGCACTAGAGTGGATGGGTCCGCCATTCCGATGGCTTGAAGTATTAGTGGGAAGTTCAAACAAGTCTTGTGTGTTTGCCAAAAAACAACTTTACTAATTTAAGGGTAGTTTAAAATTTTTTCAAGTTTGTCTAAAAACCTAAATGACTACTGAAACAGGTTTAGCTTGGAGTCCTTCCTCCAGTTCATATTGTTCATGTAAGCACCTTGCTATTGTTTCAAGACAGACTTTAAGAATTGTGAATCTATTTGTTAATGAAGTTACAAAATTCATCTTTTTCACAGTGTCTGATGATAAGATACTGCTTTTCATGAGCAAATATTTTCAAACAGTCCATATTTTGAACATCATTAATGTGACTATTATTGACTATATTCATATATATAAACATGCTGTATTACTCTTTTGGTATCTTCAGTAAAGTGATTATTCTATGAGCTAATTCATTCATCTGTTAAAAAGATTAAAAAGAAACAAAAAAAAAAGAAGATTCGTACATTGGCAGAAGTTCCAGCATTCTTGCGATGGCCAGTCTGGACACCGATCAGATAATTGTACAGAGCGCCTGGGTGATTGTCCTCCAGCAGAGTCATCTTCCTCTGAAGGGTTCAACATAAAACATTGTGGTGCATAAATATGAATGACTTATCAGGAACTAGAATGAATAGTAAGTGTTTAAACAAACTACCCACCATTAAAAAAAATAAACGTATAAGATTATAATTAGGAACAGAATATACATTTTATTAATGTGGACTAATGAGTTTAATAATAAAATTATGATATAATACAAAAAAACACAAACAAAAAGACCTGTTTCATGTGTGGAGAGACTGACCTTAGAGCGTGACCTGCGGTCAGCATAGCAGGCCCACAGCAGAGTGATCAGGTAGAGGCCAAAGAAAGCACACAGCAGTGCCAGCACCACATAGTTCTCAGTCACAGTGGCAAACAACTCTGCTGTGCGAGATATGTCCACGTTGTTCGGCATCACAAAGAAGGAGCTCCCAAAGAGAGTGAGGTGGTTACACAGACAGTGTGCCTGCTCTGGTGTGGTTTTCTCTCCCACCTGAAAGAGAGCAAATCATTGTCTGATATGCAACTACTGGTGTTAGTAGAACATTACTGCCCATGCAGACACAAAGCAATCATACGACAACGTTTATCAGACTTTATCCAGGTTGAAAGTCACCTGGCAGCCGTCAGTGTTCCATGTCTCCAACTCTGTGTGCCAGTACAAGCACTTGGTGGTGAATGAACTGATCTTCAGTGTCAGGCCTGGCTCCCAAGTGGAATTGAAGAGTCGGATGTCAATATACCAGACTCCAGGAGTCCACTGTAACATCTCTGGGGTTATCATCCAGCGATAGCCTCCTGTTGCAAAAATCAGCTAACATTTGATTTCATAATCCCAAAAAAAAAAAAAAAAAAACATCTATCTGATATTAATACATGAGAGAAGTGGGAGCACATAGTAGTCAGCACATACATCATGGTAAATAGGTGCGTGTTACTATTTTGTGTTATTACTACTCTGATCACACTGGACATATTGCTACGCAGTGTTACAGTAATTTCTAAACCCAGTAACTTTAAAATGACATAAATCAGAGGTTAGGGTATGAAGCAATAGATCAGTGCCTGTTGGTAGTGACAATTACCCGTTTGGCTCAATATGGTTGTGGCGATGGTATTTGTACGATTGGGAGGTGACTCATGAGACATCGCAAGAACCAGTGACACATTGGCGTTAGGCTCCACGCTGAAGAAAATGGTCATATAGGGGTCTTCGACACTGACTGTGCTCAGCACTTCAGTGTTTTTCTCCAATTCAACAGTACTGTTAATCAGTGTTGTAGCAATTGGGCGAGACAAAAAGATCTGGAGAAACCATAGAAAGAAAGTTTGTATTACCATTAAAATCAAACTTAGGTACATATATGTTAATTAACTAACAAATATAGATAAAATAAAGATCTTTAGCTGCACAGTTAAGAATAGGTATTTTCCCCTGTAGCCAAAAAAGCTCTGTGAGGATAAGTGAAAAGCGAATAAAATACTTTTCTGGATTGTATATACTACAGTGAGCAAAGATAGTTAATATTTCATGAAAAGGCTCAAAAAAGAGATATAAATTTGATTATCTGAAAGAAGGTGAGATAGACGGACTATTTAATGAGTGTACCTCTATCGGTTCTGTCAGGTTGGACAGCTTTATTTCTGAGGTGCCATTACTGATTAGAAGGCTGCAAACAGTTCCTGAGATGTTGTCGTCAGATGTATGGGGATTCGATGAGAATGTAGACATCTAAGAAGGAGAAAAGCTAAGTTAAAAATGCTGTAGATGGCAACAAAGATGCAAACACATAAATATGATAATAACTCACGCTGACCTGAGCAATGACGCTGTCGTACCCTACAAGCCAAGATTTAAGTGCTGAAAATGAGGGGAGTTTGATGAATGTACCGTCTTTCTCTGAACCGAGCACACCATGGTCGAGCTCAGCAGGTTTGGAACTGGGGAGAGGTAAATAAAATTTAGAATATACTGTATTGCAGTTTTTACATCTATTGTTTTTGCTGACATAGTTATATAGTTAAAAATTAACGACAAGTTACAAAAGTGGTAATCTGAAAGAAAATACCAACCTCCTCTGATAGACTACGCCTGTTGGGTGCTTGAAAATAAGTGGCTCTGTGGTTTCCAATCCCACCAGCACAGTGACTTCCCGTAAGATCTCAAACACATTCTCAAACAAACTCTGGAAAGGGGGGGGAGATGCAATGTCACCTGGCTGTAATGGTGACTAAATGTGTATGATTGCTTTAACGGCCACAGTCACACATTCTTTTGAGCTTACCGTGGGGTTTGGGTTAGCCTTGATGTCACACTTTTTCATTGAGAGAAGGAGGATGGCGTTGCTACAATTGAGGATGTGACTGATTGTGTCATTGTTTTCCAAAGCCAATTCTAGAGTCAGTTTTTGGGTGCCATTAAGCAAATACTTAATGAATTTGTCCTGTGAAAGGCAAAAACAGACAACAGACAATTGCAATACTGCAGTGGTGGACCCTGGCTGGGCATCAGCTGCATGTGGTGGGGCACCAGCACACAGAGAGTTGTGACGCATTACGGTGAAAATTGTTTTATTACTTGACTCAGATTTAAACTACTACACCTCTGTAATAAAAATACACAGGGAACTATTTAACCATGTAGAGGCCCTTGGGGCCCTCTTATCCTATCCAGCCTATCTGGTACTTCATCACGTTTTCTCCACTTGGAGGGCACCTTTTCCTGCACATTGGTCCACCTTAAAGGACACTTTATCATGTTTAATCTTCCATGGGAGAATCCAAGAGGGCACTTTTACAGCATTTATTTTATTTTTTTTAAAACACGGGAGCACCAGTGATGGGGGCAATCACCACCAGTGCAATAATAGAATTCTTCCCACAGGCTTTCCTGTGAGTGAAGGTACCCACCCTGTTGTCATTTGTCGGCTCCCCTTGTGTCTCTTCCATTCGCCGTAGTTCTTTATCCGCTTCCTGTCTCAGAAAAATAGCACTTGTGAACTCTGAGGTATAATTAACAAAAGGCCATTTACTGCACTGCTCAATAGCCCTTAAGATTTGTGGGTCAAACTCACAAGTCTCTCTCACCTGGAGAAGTTTTCTAATGTCTCTAACATTCTCACTCATGCCCTCTACAGACCTTTTGAGCCCTGAAATAAAAGTGGGTTTGAGAAGAAGAGAAAGAAAGAGAGGCAGATACACATTCTCAGTTTTATGACTTCTGTTCTTCACTTTCATTGTAGATTGAAATGATGAGACACGTAATACTGAAGTCTAACTTACGGGATCTGGTTGCATGACTGGACACTATTGTCTTCTGCAAAGAAAAGATGAACAAAACTAACATGACAATTCAGTCTGGATGTTTATATGGTCTTACTGCCTGTAAAATGTATATCTTACCTTTGTGTTTGATAAAGACCACAAATCTGTAAAACAAAGAATGGCACTTTTGACAAATAACATATTGCAATGTAAAGTGAAATGAAACTGTAATAAAATGTACTCAGTTGTTATGAATGCAAGAGGAAGAAAGGAAGACAGAAAGGAAGGAAAGAAGCTGTTGTTGCGTACTGTGGGTGCAGAGGAGGCCTCGTCTCTCGTTGCAGTCAGATGTTACGACGAGCTGAAGAGGATTCAGCTTTACGTATGTGCAGTTATCCTTTGAAACGTTAACATTTTCTGCGCATAAACACACAAAGACACACTATTAGGAGAGCTTACTTTTTGGGACCTCAGCTACAATAGCATTACCCTACACCCAACAACCACCAGGGTGCAACTATTGATTAATCTGTTTCTTATTTTTAGGGCAGAAAAAATTAGTCCATAAAATGTCAAAAGATAGTGAAAAATAAACCATCACATCAAGTTATCAGAGTCCAGTATAAAGTCTTCAAATTGCTTGTTTTGTTTAACAAATAATCTAAACCCAAATCAATTGAAATAATATAATAGAGACAAATGCAGCAAATCCTCATGTTTTAATTCAATTCAATGTTATTTTTTATAGCGCCAAATCATAACAGTTTAAACAAAGCTGGAAGCAGAGAATTTTTTTGGCATGTACGCTACTTAGAAAGTTGAAAAGTTTGAATGTTGTAGTGAAATAAAAACCAAAAACTCACAAATGCCACTTTCATAGGGTTAGGGTTATTCAGGGGTATTTCCTGATTTAAATACATTTTGTTCACTTTCATACTATATGCCGGTAAAGCTCTTGTACATGCATGTACCGTATTTTCCGGACTATAAGTCGCACTTTTTTTCATAGTTTGGCTGGTCCTGCGACTTATAGTCAGGTGCGACTTATATGTGAAATTTAATATGTTTTTGAATATGAATATAATGAATAATGACACAGAGGACGAAGAATTTAATGGATGGTGAACTTGCTACCGGTAACTTGCCTGTTGGACTCGGTGGCATGTTATGTTAATTTCTGTGTGCTATTGTGTTTAACTTGCATTTCCTGATTGAATGTCTGTTCTTGGTCTTGGATGCTGTAAAATAAATTTCTAAATAAGTTTGCCTCCCGAGTATTTGCTCTGCTGCCGGCGTTTGCCTATAGACATCGCCCAAAATGCTTGATTGCATTGCATTCTCCACATTTTTAGCTGAATGTACCACATCAGCATTTTTGTTCAGTGAATCTTTTGTAAATTGGCCGCCTTCATATCGCCCAGCTCACCTCATTTCACTCCTCTGTCTTCATTAACATTCCCAGTAGAATTCTCAATCTTTTTGGCCTCTGTGTCCAGTTACATAGTCTCTGTCTGTTCTTGGTCATGGATTTTGTGAAATGCATTTCTAAAAAAAATGTGCGACTTATATGTGTTTTTTTCCCTCTTCATGAGGCAGTTTTTGACTGATGCGACTTACAGTCTGGAAAATAAGTTACTGGTGCCTTTGACAAGTTTGTCCTATAGGCCTATTGTTAGATGAAATCAAATAGTTAATTTTTTTTAAACATTTATACTCCACAAAAAAATAGAGAAATACAGAATAACTTCTACTCATTGGTTTTTAATCAAATCAAACAACCTGAAAAGAAAGTTTTTATTTTTTATTTTTCTTGAACTGTCCACCACTGTGCATGTAAAGCCTGTGACAGTAGGTATCAAATACACTGCTTAATTTTAGGCATAACAAGTCAAAACACAGAAACCTATAAAAGAGATTCTGTGTGTATGTTTCACTCACGTTTGGCAGGTCCCTGGTACTTCCCTGGGACCCTCTCTCCCAGCCACCAAGTGAAATTGCTGATGCTTCTCTCTCTGGTGATGTTCTTCAATAGGATTTTGATTGGGGTGTTCATCACCTTCAGGAGTTCCCCTCCTCGCTGTTCACAGCTGCTCCTGGCTTGGGACCAGGTTTTGGATCCCCTAACAAACTCAAAACAGACATTTCTGAAAACAAATTCACAGTGCACGGGTAAATCATTGCTGGGACAGGCCTCAGACTTTTCCGGTAAAGATAGAAATCCTACTGAAATCCACAAAAAGACAGCGTTTCGGAAAAACATGTCCATGGTAAGTGAAAATGCAGCTAAATCACATAGTGCTGTAGGAACTGTGGCAGGAACAGCATCTGAGCAAGATCACTTCCATCTGTCACATGGAAATTAGGGAGCTTTCTCCAGAAAAACTCTGCATATGTTCTCAATAGATTAGGAAAATCACTGCAGACACTCAAACAAGATGCAAAGTGTGAAGGAGCCACTTGTTATCAATGAAGGTCATGCTGAGGCTTCCTTCAACTGACCAAACTGACTCTACTACTTTATTTTCAGTTATCATGGAAAAAATACAGTATATTGTTATCATATATGTATTATAATGATGGTTTCTTTAAAAATAGATATCTTATTCTCAAATGAAATCACCCTATACATTCACTGCACTTATATAGCCTCTCGAGAAGCACTTCTGCATAATTGAATGGGCAACATCTCTCCCCCTGCCACAGCCAGGCAGGGAAATATCGCGAGAAGATGTGTAGGAAGCGGTAACCGCGTGTGTTTGTGTAACATGTTAGGAAACGCTTTCAGTGCCCTTTAATGCAATGACAGTACTGCATCCATGGCGGGACATCTGAAGGTATTTCAGAGACAAGCTTATATGTTTTTGGGGTTGTTGTTTCAGAATGAGAGGATTTGAAACGTCGCCAATAAACGTGTGTTTCCTCTGTGATAGCTCGGTTGAGCCCATTGACAGCGTATAAAAGGTTAAACCAGGAAGCACTGCAGGTTAGCTTTGCTGTGTCTTATGTGGACACAGAAACACATGCAGTGGTGTTGTCTTCGCGATCAGCTTTACTTTCCCTTTGATAATCGGCACGGTCATTAAAAAAAAACAACCACACAAACAGATGATTTTGATTCATGTATTTAGATGTATGCTAAGGGTTCAGCTGTCACACAGAAAGCAGTAACATAAGTCACTATAGTCTCCTCCAAAGATTACCTCTAAACCATTGACAGTATATATTAGCTCTAAACACCAGCTGATAGTATTGAGTCAGTGAAGATGATGGACAGTGTCAGTAATCTTCATTCAGCACAAGCAGACGTGGGTCAAATACTGTGCTTCCACTTTACTTATGTCCAGTTTGTGCTATTTTGTACTTGCAGTCTAATACAATTCAAATGTAGATATTGTACTTCTTCATTTCATTACATGTATTTGACCGCTACAGTTACTAGTTACTTTGATTTCTGCATACAAAACATATGATCAACTTATTAAATATGATGCATGAGACGCCCCACAAACCCACCCAGGTGTTTTCAGTACAGCAGTGCAGTGCTGGGATTTATGGGACGTCATTGTGTATTTATAAGAATGATAAAGTTGTAAATTGTCATGCAACAAAACTAACAGGAGGAAAATCATTTCTATCTTGTTTCACACAATAATAACTTGTACAAATGATCTTTTGGCATTTTGAAGTCTCCATAATGTAACTCTCTGGGCCATTTTGTATATGTGCACTTATATACTTTAAGTATCTATATTTTGCTGGTATTACTTCACTCGAGTAGAGTTTCAAATGTAGGACTTTTACTTTTAACTAGAGTACTTTTACTCTGTGGTACTATTAGTTTAAGTTAATTAAAGGGGTCTAAGTACTTCCATGGCTTGCAGGTTTTCTACTTTGTTTGGCTTTTCCTGTTTGTTTTGAGGCATTCATGTGGCTAAGCTTAAGATTAATTCAGATATAACTAACTGCCTCCCTCAAAATCTTAATAACCACAAACACTGTTTTACCATTTTTCAACTTTTTAAACTACATTAGGCTTCATATTTCAGCTTTGATGTAGAAGTTTGCTGATTGCTTGTGAGTATGTGCTGTAAGGCAGATATCTGCAGGGAAAGTTGATTGAAAGGTATTCTTTTAACATCAGTGACAGACTTGCTTAATCAGCATATCATTTATATGCCACTTTCCTGAGTTATATTACACATCACAAACCGTGTCAATTCACCAAGCGCATTTAAATGTCCACTGATTATGCTGGGGAGGATAGAATTCCACTATTGTCATGTAAATGCCTCAATCTTGTAATCTTTGAAGCCCCGTCCATCCTAGTTCCATCCATGCAGGTGTCTGCAATTATTCTGAATGATTACACCTCTTTGAAAGAAAGAATGAACCCACAGAGAAATAACACTATAGCTCTCTTTAAGCTCTATGGAGTACTTTATCATCCATTAGAGAATGTTTTCCGACCTGTAACACAGATTTAGTGTAGCAGATTCTTTCCAGCGAGCCAACAGTAGCAGCACCCTGACTCGGTCTGAACTGAATGGAAACGGAGCATTAATTGGTATCACTAGTAACACCCTTGTTTACGCCACCATTTCATGTCAAAATGGCTGCTGTGAAAAACGACTATTGCGGGTTTAAACTCCTCAACTTGAAGCACAACAGACACCAACAAAGTCCCTCCAGTGGACCGTTTCTGCAGCGGACATTTTGACTAGTCAGAGCAGGAAAAGCACAGGTGTAAGTAATTAGCGTTAACAATGGCTCAGTTCCATTGGTGTCCCATTAGCCTTTCTGGTGTCGCATGCACAATGTGGTGTGTAATGGCCATGTGGTTTGTTTCTTTCAGTACTCTCCAAACAACCGCTCTAGATATTAACCTGATATTTAGGGAAAAAAACTGCATACAAACTCTGGTTATTGTGGAAACGTTACAAATGCTGTCATTGACCTATTACCAGTATATTCACATTAATTAATGCCTGACGTGAGTCCCTTTTGTAAACACAGTTTTATTATTTTTAATGCTCCTGTCAACAGAAGCAATTAAAAGATGCAGTGAAGGTCATCAGCTCAGGAAGCCTCCTGTTTGCCTCCTACCTCACTGCGGTTGGAGATGAGCGTTTCTATGCCAACCAGCTGATGCCCCTGCTGCAGAGGATTGTGGGGGCAGAGACGGCGCATGTGTTGGCAGTGAAGATGATTGGTCTGGGTCTGGTTCCTCTGAACCGTTACCAGGACCCTGCATCATTGGTAATTGTGTAAACTTACTTTCAGCTCAGAGATATGTCCTATTGATTCTAAACACTGTTTAAAGACTTTCTGTGTCTACAGGAAGTCAACGTCCTGGGATTAAAGTTCAAAAACCCTATTGGGATTGCCGCAGGCTTCGACAAGCACGGAGAGGCTGTAGACGGGTTGTACAAAGTGGGTTTTGGCTTTGTTGAAGTGGGCACAATCACTCCCAAACCTCAGGAGGGGAACCCCAAACCACGTGTGTTTCGACTCACTACAGATCAGGCAATTATTAACAGGTAAGGTTGAATAGACAGTGTATTTACCCATCTCTAGCTTTATAGTAGCAATTTATTACTTTTTTTTCCATCAACGATTTTCCGTATCTTAACGCCTGACTTTTCAGTTGCATATCACAAAGGATTCATTCAATTTATATAACTGTAAAGGAGCCATATTACTCTTAGTGTATGTTAAAATCCTTGAGGCTGGAAAACAAAGGAGCAGGAGGCGGTAATGTTACTGTATAATGTTCTCTTTCACATTGCTCAGTATGTGCAAGTATGTGCAAAATGATAATGCGCCTGCAGGGTTTAACGGTTTCGCTTATTTTCTTTGCTGTTTTAATTTGCAACACAGACTTTGAATGAGCTAAATGAAGGAAATCTTTCTTAACAAGCTCTTTCTTTATTTAATTGATTTATGTTAATTTGCTTTTATGAGTTATTTCAGCAGTTTGCCTCTGAATTAAAAGCTTGAACAATGTTTTATATTCACATTCTATAGATGTTTTTATAATAATTTTGTATATTTAGGACGCTTGATTAGGTTCATTCTAAGCATGACCTAGTTTTAAAGTTAGATATCATTTAGAAAGCAGTAATTAGTATATGTGAAAGCACTAAAGCAAATGTGTAATGCAAAGACAACATGATAGAAAAATATGGAAATAATCCGGCATCTTGGATGTCACTTTGGGTTCCACCTCTGGCTCTATGGGAGATGATTCATGGAGCCACAATCATACAGAATCCACTTGCTCATAACAAAATGCTATGTATTCGGGCGTTTTTAATGGTATATCACGTTTGTGTGAATGGGCTTTTATGTAGGTTTATAGTGGCTAGTTTATAATGGTTTATAATGTCAGGAGAACCTAGAATATGAGAACATTTTAATGTCATTATGTATTTACTGAAGGCTTTGATTACTTTAGGGTTTTCTTGGCCCCAGAATGTAAACAATTGTAATGGGAAATTAAAACTGGTTTCCCTGTTTGTCCAGTATATCAGTATTTCATCATTATCACTCAAAATAAAGTGTAAAAAGTGGTAAAAAAAAAATCATTATTTTTCAGTTTGTTTTTGAGCAGCCTCTCATATCTTTATCTGTGTGTGTTTCTCACCAGATATGGATTCAACAGCTGTGGTTTGGCCGAAGCACAACAGAGGCTGAAGGCCAGGGGAGGCACACAGGAACAGCAAACTAAAGGTTAGCAGGCAATGTTCTGTGGATTACTTATTTCAATTTCAACCTTTATTTTTCTAAAAATGGTGTTGCTTTCAGTTTTATTACTACAATAGGTCTGATATAAATCTGTCCTTTTTTTTTTTTTTGTGCATTTATTATTTACTGCTCTACTTATTCTGTTCTATTTTATTTTAATGATTATGACCTGTCCTTGTTTTATTGTGTCTGATCCATACAGCAGCCTCTGCCCCAGTTGAGTCATGTGTCTGATGATGCAGCCTGTGTTTGTGCTTGTCTGAACTTTCCTATTTGTGTGTTTGTATGTGTTTTTGCATGTGTGTGTGTGTGTGTGTGTGTGTGTGTGTGTGTGTGTGTGTGTATGTCTGTGTGTCTGTGTGTCTGTGTTTATAGCTGGCCTTCCCCTGGGCATCAACCTGGGGAAGAACAAGCTGTCCCAGGACGCAGGGGCAGATTACTTAGAAGGGGTGAGAGTGCTGGGCCCGCTGGCAGACTACCTGGTGGTCAACGTCAGCAGTCCTAATACGCCAGGTCTCCGGAATCTACAGGGGAAGGCTGAGCTCCACCAGCTCCTACAAATGGTAAGACTGTCCGAATGTTCATGAAACTACCCAGAGACCCAGAAGTGACAAAAATACACACAATCGTCACCTGGCCTCATTGCTCAGCCTTTACCCCGCAAAAGTGACTGAACTGGCCTTTTAAATTACAAGTGAAAGTTAGTCCATCATCATATACAGTTGATCTTAAGTATAAATAATTCTTTAAAGTAATTTGAAAGAAAATAGCCAGCTGTTGTGGAATTTTCTGGAATAAAGAGAGATTTCTACACTAAACATATACCTACACTTCTATACAATTACCGTCAGCAGTCACAGAGAGCTGTCTCAGGCAAAGTACAAAGCTTTATTCAGGTGATTAGGTTTTATACAAGATGTTATGTGGCCACAGTGATGTGGATGACTGTAACCCACAAAACAAACAAAAATCTGTCACAAAACCAAATTATGTTATTCAATATATAACAAGATTCAAAATTACACATTATTTTTGTGTTTGTTGGTTCCACATATTGCAGTATGAATGTAATTGTATTCCCACACAACCCCCAAAATACTTTATTATTAAAATAACTTCTTAAAGGTACATAACAAGCTTGGCAAAATTAGGTACCCAAATCAGAAAGAATGAAAGAACTACCTCGGAAAACCCTAAAAAGGACGGAAAATTCTTCTATTCTTGCTTTGTACTGACAATTTTCTGTTAAATTGATCCACTAAACGCTAAATTCAACTTCAGGTAACATCACACATGCAGAACAATTATTTAGTGGATATTTTCTTAGTGGATATTTTCTTAGTGATGAAGTATCAATTATTTAGATTCAATTATTATTATCTCCACTGTGTTATTTTTACAGCCCACCGTCAGCGAGGAGCAAATGCCCTCGCAGCGAAGGGAAGAATGAGGAAAGGGTTAATGAATGTCAAAGAGCAGTGACAAAATATCTGACGAAAGCCCTGCATCCTTTCAGCAGAGTAGAATACCCGAGGTTTAGGTATGATACTGCGTGAAATAAAAAAAGGACATATCCCCACCAAACACGCTACCTAAAAAGATTCGGTAAGGGATTCGAAAGGAAATGTTACCCCATCCCCAGGTACACGTCATGGTGTGAAAAAATGTTTTAATTTGCAGAGGCTTCTGAAATGAAGTAACTATTCTGTATTATTTGTCATTTGTTCACTATCATCCAGTACACTGGTCTTTCTGTGCAGTTTCCAGTAGTTGTAGCTCTCTCTGCCCCCTCACCTGATGTACTCACATTCTCATACAATCTGCTCAGGTGTTGAAGGAGCGTGATGCCCTGCAGGGAGAATGCAAACCTCCAGTCCTGGTGAAAATCGCTCCTGACCTCACTGCACAGGACAAACAAGACATTGCGGATGTTGTCACTGAGGTAGAAAGTTATTTTTTGTTATTTAATTTCCTATTTGTGCCTTTTTGATTTTATTTTCTTGCTTGTTCTTTATTTAATTTCATTATGCTCTAATTTATTTTCATCCCTTTCAATTTGTATTATTAAATTCTCTTGCCTGATGGGATTGTTTGACTTTGAAGGAATAATTGTTTTTGGCAATCTGGCTAAATATCAAAAGAAAAAGTACACATTCTGCTTTTATTGAATTAAATATTGAATCTGTAGTGTTTTTGAAGTGTCCCTTCTGAAGAATACAGTGAAAATCATACAAACTCTTTGCAAGAGAAACCAGAACTCAAGTTCAGGTCCTTTCCTGAGGCGACAGTAGAGTTACCCTTGTCAGATGCTCGTATGCAAACTGCACACACCCATTACCAGGGTGCAGCCACCTTCTTGTTTGAATGACAGTTGCGTCGCTGGTCAGATAAATGAGACTCAGTTCAAACAATTGAACTTTAGCATCACTACAATCACCCTTTAGGTACTACTAACTAAAAAACTTTAATAAACTTTAAATATACAGCATCTGTGGAAAAAAAGTGCTTTAAAGGGGACATATAATGTAAAACCAACTTTTTAATCGATTGATTATGTACATCTGGGAGAAACAATTTGAAACATTTCAGCACTACAATTAAATAGAAGTACAGGGAATTAAATAAATGCACACATTAAAATAATATTTAAAAAAGTGTAATCAAGTGTTGAGGAAAAAAAAAAGTGTTTACCAATTCTTCTTAGATTCTCAGGCAAAGTGGCTGCTATACAATCCAATGCAACTACAATGATAAAACTGTTACCTAATATAACTTTAGTTGCATCTTTGCTTTGCACAACAATCTTATGGTAAATAAAAAATATGTAAAGTGAGACCTGTTGTTGTCCAGTGATCAAATGTAAGTTTGGCTTCACCATGTGTCAGATGTCTTTAGTAAAAGGGGATTGGTGAGCTTTTCAGCATGATTCAGTAAGTCACAATTGTTATTTGCTGCTCCATACCTCAGCTGACTGTTTTTACTAAGGGTGCTCGCTATTACAATTGGCTTGACAATTTTCCACCTCAGCAGAACATTGTTTAACCACACACTGTTAACCGGGACCATTTAAAAACATCTGGCTCCTTTCCTTCTCTCTGGTAACCTAATCACCCATTCAGTAGGTTGTGTTTTTGGTATTTCTCTTTACTGGAGCGGGAAGGAGACAAACCTTAATGGAAGAGACATCAAGGAGGACAAAGAAAGCCCAATTTAAACACCACTTTCTTTTTGTCACAGTACATTTCACATTAGAGGTCTGTGTGCCACATGTATACATACTGTACATACATCAGCTCTGCTCCTGACATAGACACACGCGTCGCTCACTTCCTGGCCTTTTACATACATTCTATGTTTTCAGCTGGGAGTGGATGGTTTAATGGTGTCTAACACCACAATTTCCAGACCAGAAACTCTTCAGGATCCACATAAGTCTGAGGTTGGTGGGCTAAGCGGCCAGCCTCTCAAAGACCTCTCTACTAAGACTGTGAGAGAGATGTACAACCTCACTAAAGGTACGTATTTACACACCTGTGTTTTCTGTCCACTTCTATCAAGCCAGTGCATATAAAATACACTTGTAATCATTTTTTTGTAGGTAAAGTACCAATTGTTGGAATCGGTGGTGTGGCCAGTGGACAGGATGCTATGGATAAGATCCGCGCTGGTGCCTCACTGGTTCAACTTTACTCAGCTTTGACCTACCAGGGTCCACCCATAGTGACGAAGATAAAGCGAGAATTAGAACAACTTCTTAAGTGAGTATAACTGAATGGGAATTAAAGTCAGGGCAAATCTTTCAGTTGAGATTTAAGGATCTTTACATGGGTTCTTTTTTAATAATGAAAGGTTTGTTGTTTATTACAACATTGGAGTTATTATTGAAAATATCATCCAATGATTTGCTGAAAAGTCTGCAGAGCAAAAAACACAAGCACTCAGACAATCAGACGGGTTTTAAGCTAACCTCCATTTATTATTCTTGGTTACAGAATAGTCAATTACGATGTATATTTCCCAGTTCAGCTTTGACCTCACTGTAAATGCTGTAATTTTATGGGATATTTACCGGCCCTTTTCAACTCTGATTTTGCCCCATGTGACTTTTTTTGTGTTTCCAGATCTCAGCAATTGCTTAAAACTGCTGGCAATGATAGCCCAATCTATGTAAATAAGAGCATAATAAACTGTATTTATCCTTTAGTGTTGTTAAAAATGTTTCTCTCCTGAGCATCAGCCTACTCGTACAGTAGTATTTGACAGCAACACTAGTTCAACTCTGTGCTTAATGAGGCAGTTGTGCTCAAACTGCATGATGAACTGTTTCCACAGTTTTCCTCTAGTGCATTCATTGCCTTTGTGTTTCAACTCTGGAAAACATTCTTTCATTATCAGCACTATATTCTCCTTCCCTACAAACTATATATATATTTTTTATTTTTTACAGAGAACAGGGTTTCAGCAGTGTATCAGAGGCAGTCGGGGCAGATCACAGGGGAGCAGATGTGTCGACTCATAGGCCGTGGCTGCTGAAAGAGATGGTAAACGTTAACACAGACACTCCACCTGTAGCTGCCATCTCCTCCAACTAGGCAATGACCTTCAACTCTTCCTGAACTGTTATGAATGCTGAATATTTATGATTGTCCGTTCGTCCTTCTTGATTTCCAGGATGAGATATGGTATGAACGTTGTTAAAACCATATTTGTCAAATGCTGAATGCACCAAATCTCAGCTTCTCACGTTTTACTTGAACATGATGACAAAGTTAACAATAAGGCTTTGATGTTGTATCTCCATCTTAAGAAGCTGAGGTTTATTTATAACCTCATTTCAGATGTGTATGCTTTGTTACAGTGTAACAGCAGAAGGTGAATCTCAAGTGCATACTGACACCAAAGTGCTTGAACTCTTCAAACACAAACCTGTTAACAAACATAGACATAAAGAAAATAATGTAACCTGTTTTATTATTTTATATGCATAAAATAGCAACTATTGTCTAATAACAAGAGCTGAAACATACATTGAAATGTTGATGCATTATTTGCTGATGTTATATGTTATTCTACTGCAGAAATATACACTCAATCGCAATAACAGCAACTAAGTGTTATTTGGTGTGTGAGAGAAGATCTCATGGTGAGTCTTTGTAAGCTCTCTTTCAAGGTCCTGTCCCTGGCAACTGAGATACACTACATTACCCACAAATGTTCTCTTATTCACTTCCCTGCTCAAAGAAAATTATAATAAGAGATGTCCTGATCCAATTTCAATGATCCGTATTGCCACCAATCAAGGCATAATTGGTATTAGGATTGGCTGTTTTTACTCACAAAGCTTACATGCACAGTGCAACTCTCTCGCACCTCCTCCTTTCCGCCGTATATCAGAGAGAGCAGGTGCAGAGCACGGGTAGCCCCGCCCACAGTAAAACTCCACACTCAACACGCCTCTGCAAGTGCAACAAAAGTCCTGCAAACAAAAGCCAATAAAAGTAATTAGTTAATGTAATTAGCACAAAAGATGTGGAGACAATGGAAATAAACACTCCGCTGAAACCTGAGTGGGACATCCCTAGTTATGATTTGACTCCACAATAGAAACGTTCCACAAAGCTCATTGTTGCTGGGTTGATAAATATAAAGCCCCTTGGTGTGCTTTGGTATACCACAGGAGAGCATTGTGCCATTTGCAGATGTGACATTACATAATTTCTATTGACATTTCTGATGTTTTCAGTTTTACTGCTATCTGAAGCTGACATTGTAGAAAGCTGCCTAATGTAGCGATTGATTCAGTATTGTGTATATAAATGATATTTGTTGAAGTGTGGGAGATTCGCAAGTGGAATACAAATACTGTTATAACACAATTAATAAATAAATAATGGTGCTTTTTAAAGACTTCTGGGTAATCTTTGAAGATTTGAGAGTCACTGAGTCTGCTCTAGTCATAGACCCCAGAGGATGGACCATACCGACTGCTTGATCTGCTATGTTGTCACCTTTGGTCAGGTTGAAATTGGCTGTTTGAAACCAGTCTCTTTTTCCTGCACCAAACAACCTTGAAGCAAAGATGAAAGAAACCTGTACCTTTTAGAGAGATTACATTAATGTTTTGCCCCTTTTCTCATTGTATTACAGTTATAAAAACTCAGGCTGTGAGAGCAGGGTTGGAATAATGCACTTGTGTTGAATATAAATGCACAGTGTAGCATCCCCACATCTCAACAAAGTCGCTTTTCTTCTTGTGTAAATGCGGAGAACAGAATTTGTTCATGTGAATGATTCACACAGACTGGAAGATATGCTTTAAGGTACAACTACACAGTGTAAAGAACTGCAGTAGCTTTTACTTGGACGTACAATAATAATTTTTCACAGTCCTGAAGAAAAACTTAAGCAGAGTAGTCAACTGGTCCTTCCTAATCATCTGTAGCAGCAGCGAACACAGCAGAGTTCTGATCCTTTAAGAGATTTTTTTTAGCCTTGAAAGAACTAAGATGACTTTGCTATGTTCCCTCCAGCAATAGAGAAAGCCCCTCAAGTCCTCTTCACCTCAACTGAACTATCACTCCCCTCCTCTTATTAGCTGTGGGTATTGTGGTATCATAGCCTCCCATTGGTGGAGGCTGTTGCTTTTATTGTTATTCTTGGGTTTTTTTCTCACTCGTTGACACATTGAGATGCCTTCCTAGCCTATCACAACACCGCCTGCAGTGGTCATTAGACATACCCAGTGAAGGCAGCAGTACTGTGAGGATCAGCTGTGAGCTGCCAGGCGCCTCCTTCTCCCTCTCCTGGGGCCAAGCACAGACTGGCTTGTATCCCGTATGTGGTGTCACAAGGGGAGGAGAGGTGAAGTGAGGCCTGGCTTTCAGACAAGCAAAACTTTAAAGCTGATGGCCACATAAATGTACTGTTTCCTCATATAACATTGATCATAGCTACGAGGCAGCACTGAGTCCTGAGATGCTATCTGTGCCGTACTTTGATACAATCTAAAAGCTAATAGGAAAAGGAAGGTCAGGACGGGTATAATATCTATCTACTATTTATTCACAAGGTCAGTATGAAGGCTTTAGAATTCAAGCATTGTTTTTCTACCACAGACATGGTGACTTACCAGCACACTAATGAACTGTTAACTGTAGACTGCAGATGTCTTGGGAATACACATACAGCCAGTAAGGAGGAGGGAATTAGTTGTTCGACTGCAGAGGGAGAGAAACGAAGAAAGAAAAAGAATGGACAAAAAGGCACATTCTGCCTTTGTAATATCTGTACGCAACACGTGTAACCAAAACAATGCTAATGCAGAAGAACAGAGGAGGGAAAATGGACTGATTGTCTACATGGCTTGGCTTTCTTCCTCACTAAGTAATGAAGCTACATCAATCAGCCAGGGCTTAGTAATTAGTTTTTTTTAAATAATTGCTCAGTTTATAAAATTTCGGCAAAATTGCAAGTTCCCAGAGACCAAGGTTATCTCTTCCAATTGCTTGTTTTATCCAAACAACAGTCCAGAAGCCAACGTTTCAAATGAAACAGAGAAAAACTGTAAATCGTCACATTGGAGAGAATTGGAACCAGCTGTTTGTGTTGGTCCATCACTTTGCTGCAAACTAAATATTTCAACTGACAGAGCCGCTAGCATGGCTATTTTCTGGTGATTGATTTATCTATTAATTGACCAAATGCTTCCTGTCTACATACTGTTGTTATTCAGCAAAATCAAACGTGGGATGTTATCAGAACATTACAGGACTTTTTCTCCCACTCAATCCACTGTGAACCCAAATATTTATTTTGACATTTAGACTCTGGGGCAGTTTGTCTTTTTACTTTATATAGATGACATTTACAAACATGATTTGTGGGTTTTTTTTTTCGGATATTTGTGTTTTTTTTCAGATGGCGAAGCTAATGAAGCTATTGGAGATTTTATAGGCTTGAGGAGGAGGAGTCATCCAATGCCTTCTGGGTCTTTGGTCTCAAAACTAATCAACCCTGAATGTTACAAGGTAAAGCAAAGATGGTTTCTGGGTCATTGGTCAAATTCAAGAACATGATTTAAAGCTTTCCCTCAAAGCGAGAAAATACTATTTATAGGGGCCTTTTTTAATAAACATAGAAGCCCAGTGAGTGCCTCTTAGTATAATTAATAAATAGATGTGTTTAAATGCTTGAATTTACCATTTTGTCAAATCTTTCATTTTTAATTTCAGTTAAAACATGGACCTCAGTAAAGAAGATAAATATAGATAAATCCAATGCTATGAAGCATTACACAGACAGATAGCGAAGTTACTAAAGGGCTTAGAATAATAATTACTGTTACTCACAGGTAGAACGTAACTGTGTAGGATAACTCAAGAAATGCTCAAATAGATTTAGTACGTACATTCATTGGTTTGCTCATGTTTTGTTAGTTATATGACAACAGTAGATTTCCCTTTTATTTATTTTTATTTCATTTATAATTCAAATATAATTGTCATTTAGATACGTAAACTCATATCTAAATTTGAAAGCAAATTTCTTTTAGTTAAATTCTTTTGACAGATTTATTGAAATTGAAGTCTAACAGCCCGAGTTGAGTTACGTAAAGCCTTACCAAACATAATTTGTTTGTTGTCAGTAGGTCTAGGGAAGTGCACTTTCACTGTCGGCACATCAGCAGACCTATTAATTTAGATATGAATAAAACATGAGATTACCAAAACCTTTTACATGTTAAAAGAAGAAAGCAACCCCTGGAAAAAAGGCATATAACAGCCTGGAATTTGTTAAAAGGCATTTCATAGGGCAAGAGATAAAAAGGTTCTTGAGTTTGCTAGAAGCCAAGCATTTCGAAGCTTTCTCTGAAGCGTGCTGATGGCAGCATTATCCCATGGGGGCGGCATGTATGGATCAACCCGAGTGAATTAAGACAAATATAGGGAAATTCTTGAAAGGAAACCTGCATTACACTTCCTGATAGACCATACTAACAGGACTGTGACTGCTAACACACAGGAGACATCAACACTGGAATAACTTCATAGCAACATCATGAAAGCCCTGTAGACACACATGCCAAAACTCCGACTTAAATCTAATTGAAAACCAGTTAAATGACCTGGGTGAAAAAAGCCGTTTACAAACCTGTGAAGAAGGCAGAGAAAGACCCCAAGTGCTTAAGTGATACAAATTTTATCCGCTTTTACTCAGCGTAAGATTGGCTGCCAAAGGCATTTCCTCTGTGCAAGGTGGTGCAAGGCTTCTTTACTCTACTGTATACAGTGCGGTGCACATACTGTATAACTGTGTGTAATTTTAACCTGCATATGGAAACTTCAGGAAATTGTGGCACTATTAACTGTGTTATGTTATGAGCAGGTCTTGCATAACCTCACAATAACCTCACAATAATCGGTTGTGACTCCTATTTGGTATACAATGGTGAGGTTGCGTATGCCACTAAAAGGGAGTACAAACAGAAATGGATTTACATAAAAGTTAGTAATTATATAGCCATTGCTATATATATTGCAAGTGTTTGTTCATTCTCATACTGTGGTTGATATAGATCCTTATTTTGAAAATGAATTTATAATAAGACAATTAGAGGTATTAACATAGTTCTTATTAACCTGATGTAGCATATAACATTACTTTCAGTATGTGTAGCAGGCATTACATGTCGAGCACAAACCTCCTGATTCACATAATCTCCGACTAATCTGTCATTTTATTCCACCAGTGAAATGTGGGCAGAAGAAAGCGTACTCTCATTTCAAGTGGCAGCATAATGGGATTTATAATATTGATACATATGGGCATATCATATCCAGTGTTGCATAACAAACAAAACAACAGATGTGACAGTTTGCTTTCTGCAGACGCCAGGCTGATGATGTGCAGTGATTTGTTCAGAAGCAGGTTCAGTTTTTCCAGGTTTGAATTTTTTGATAAGTGGAGTTCAGAAGTTGCTCCAGCTGATTGTTTTTTATTTTAAGCTGCTTGATGTCTCCTCTGCCATATGCTGTAATTCTGCTGTCAGACTTTGCCGTTTATTCATCTGTCTAAAGGGGACGCTGGTGCTGGTCACACAAAAAAGAAACGCCATCAAAATCCTAGTCAAAATAGCCTGCCAACTGGATTGCAATCTCCTCATGAAGTTGTTTTGAGTCTCTCCTCTGCCTATCTCATCTTCGACTTCTGTGGCAATTTTTTCTGGTCCATCACAAGATTTTTCATCTGCTAGAACACTTGTATATATAATAATATATAAGTATATGTGGTGCTAAATGGGACTAAAGCACAACCAAGAAAATAATACCAAATATTTGATTTGAAAGCTGTTGATTTTTGCCACCAAGTTACCATAGCAACCTTCTATCATCCTCATCCTGTGCTGAACATTGTGACTCTGTATATTGAGGTGTAGCATCATCAGCTCCTCAAGGCGAGAGGCAAGCAGCTGACGGCACTTTTGCAGTGCCTCATCATGGTTTATCGTCATCCAATTTTCCACAGCATTTATGCTATACTGTCAAAAAATATTTTTATATTTTATATTTTTGTATATAATTGAGGTACACAGTGGGATGTTAGTCTTGAATGAATCGTAACTAATTCTGAAAAATGGGTGAAACATATCAATGGACAGTAGAGTGATGTCAGGCAGTCTTGATTATGTAAGTCTGAGTGCTGCCTGTGCAGTCGGAGGTGTTTGTTTGCCATAAGGAGGAAGAGGAAGGACAGCTGTGAGCCTGTCAGGTCAGGTCAACCAAATAGGCATAAATGTTCTTCCTGAATCCTGATGGTGATGCAATCTTATTGGGATGTTTATATTAAATTAGTTTTAGACAGAAATAAACATAGTAAGATGAAAGTGGTGGTGGAATATATGGGTGTGA